ATAAGGCAGAAGTGCGTCGCGCTTTTAACAATAAAGGCTGTATTTGGGGCGGCTAATCACTCAGCGTCCTCAATAATGGCCATCATGAAATTTTTCGAATGAAATCGGATTACCGATTTTACCAGGCTCCATCCTACATGCCGACAATCAAATAGCCGTCGCTCAGATCAAGGTCACGAACACGTTAGGTCGAGCGAAGCACACCGCCGTGAGTTACAAATTTTTCAAGGATCTGAAGAAACAGGAGATGATCAACGTGCAGTGTGGCAAAGCGATCAAAGATTTACCGTTAAGTTGGGCTTAAAAGAACACAGATCACTTGCGTCCGTTAAGTCCGAAAGAGACTCTAATTGGAGGATTTGAGCTGAGACATGTGGCTCACGATCGTGAACCCAGACGTACGGGATCGCGAGATCGCTGGTGGCAAGTATGGGAGATATGCTTTACGCAAGGATGATTACGTATTCTAAAGTAAATTTCAGATGAGATCGCAAATCCCAACCAGAGATTGCGATCCCGATTAGAGATTGCGTCCCCGACCAGAGATCGCGAGTCGAAATCCAACTGTGTAAAATCGGATGTGGACCACGCCAAGGTTCAAGAGAAGGTGTACTCGGTATGGGCCACATAGGCACAAGATGAAATTCTTCTAAAAGGCAAGACGCGTGGCCCCGGATGTTCGTGATACATAAAGGCCTAGTGATGTGTATCTTTTTGGGTTCAATTAGTAAACATTTAAACACAGATTTAGTCTAAGTACAATAAGTACACGTGTCGATTTCTCCTCCGGGTTGGATTACTGGCCACCCGACGTCGAGAGAGGTTGAATGAATAAATCAAGTTTATGTCGTGGATTCTTTGGCCAGATATCAAGGACTCTCAATCAAAATGTCAAGTGCTCATCTCCAACATTTGTGATAGCATATCGGGACAAGCGGCTTATGAAAAGTATACGGACGACAGCACCAGGCATTTCACACTTTTTTGCTTCAGGCACTTAATGGAAAATATCAACAAGAAGTTAGAGTCCAAAGTGCTAAAACAAATTGGCGTGGAATTTGTGCCCCTATCAAATATATATTAAATACGAGAAGATGGCATCGAAAATAGCTCACCTCGATACAAGCAGCGTTCTCTTCGCTTCAGGATATGGGGCGTGAAAAATGGTCGACAGCTTTTTCGCCATGTCCAAGGTTTAATCCTTTGACATTGACAAGCGTGGAATTGGTGAACAGCGCGTTTAAAAATCCGCTTTCTTCCCATTACAGGCTGCTTACTAAATATTGAGCGCTACGTAGCTTGCAATTGGGATGAAAATGCACAGGAAATACAGCGGTGGGGAGTAGTGACTCCATATGCATCTCATTAAGTGGACAAATGGATGGTTTTAGATTATCTCGGTGACTTGGATGAATGCGCGCAATCATGCTTTATTGTCGCAATACGAACAGGAGTGGGAAATTACAGCAAATTTTTTAGGTTTGTTTTTCGATAAAGTTGTGCAATGCACGTACAATTACTTTAAATACGCTGCCTCGCCTTACGTCCATGCGCTATTTGCACATTGGCACTCCTTTAAAATGACAGCTATATTCGATTTTTACGCGTTCGATAAATCATCGACAGGTACAGATGCTCATTCTGAGAAATCGAAACTAAAATACGGCCAATCGTGCGGAAGGGTTTCGTAACAAAAAGAATGTGCGATGCCTTGTCTTTTAAAAAACGAGGGCGTCCGAAAAAATAGAGAATTTTCTCGCAACAAGCGATAGAGGAGATCGAAAAGCTTCAAAGCAGAAAATGTAGTGTCTGCAACCAATTAACCATAATCGTAGAACTTGTACAAAAAATTCAGCAGTATCTAATGTCTAAGTTCCTTTACTGCATGATGCATGTACAACAGAAGGTTTTAGTCCCATACAGGTTTTTCGTCGCTTTATTTAGAACAATTTTATCAAAGTGCAACTTCTCAATGCATGTTTTACTGTGGAGTAAAACGATGCCAATATGATGAAGTGGTTGCGCTCTTTGACCAAACCGAATGTTTACTGTGTCTTGTCAAAAGCTCTCGAACTTATCCTTTCCAGCTTGTTGTAATTCAAGGTCATTTTTATAAGCACCGATGAATTCCTATATTAGCACTGGCATTTCTCCATCAGCACTGATATATCTCCATCAATAATGATGCGGCTATATATCCGCTTTTCATGATGCTTTAAATGTCACATTTGTATTGTACAAAGATTTGAGCATGTGCCAGTTTAGACGGCACCATCATTTCTAATTCCGAGTTAATGAGATTGACATGACAGATATACATACAATGTCAAACCACAAAATCAGGAAATAAATGAAGTCAGCCTGTTGTCGTTTAATAAACTGACAAAATAACTTCGACGAATACGCTTGAGTCATCACCGCACGTTTACTTCCTAAAATATGCGTGGAGACGAATAATTCTGCAGGTATAGAAATTATCAATAAAAGTTACACAGAAAGAATAAATGCATTGGGGCCTATTGATATTATCAAGCGTGTCAAAGTATCCAAGCTGATGAGCAGGAAGAGAAATGCGATCCCACCAGTCGAGCAACAACAAAATCAACCGCAGCACCTACAATAACCGCAGCAACATCAGTAGCAACATCAACAATAGCAACAGAGCAACGACAATACCAACAGCTATAGCAACAGCAGTAGCAGCAACAACGACGCTAGCAATTTAAACATTTAGAAACTTAAACAAGAATAACAAAATTAAGAAAATACATATCAACAACATTATCACCGACTGACTGTGTTTACGGACGCGGCGGACGATACGAAGACGCGTTTACGTCCTTACATCTGACTTCTGCGCCCGCAACTGATGGCTGCAAACGCGGCACGCTCGCGGCAGAACCCTCTCCGCGGCTTCCCTAACAGGGCGGGTGTTGATCACGGCCGTAAATTAGTAATTGAAAAATGACATGGACGTGGGTTTCGTGTGTGCCACATTAACTGAAGTAAAATAGGACGTGGGGCATTTTTTCATTATCCGTGATAAATTGTGGCATATATATGGTTTTGATTATCTGGGGCATTTTTATTTTCCAATTATCTGGGGCGTCAGTTTCTTTTCGTGATTGATTGGGGCATTTGTGTATTTCTCCTTTTTTACTTTCAATATTAAATGGGGCACTTTTATTTTCTCCTGATTAGACAACTTGTCGGTCGGTATTTGGGCATTTACTAATCATATATTTCTAGGGGCCAATTTGTCCTTAATCAGGCAAAATCGAAGATTTTCATCCGCCGAAATCGTATTTGTATTGACATTCCATTGTGCATAAAATATTGTAATCGATATTTTACATAACATACCAATATATTTGAAGCGGGTACGATGAAAAGAATACCTTCTTGAGATAACGTTTGGCAGCTTTTGTTTGCACAAAATGATTCAGCCCACTCCAGGATCCTTCATTCCACACTTTCTGCTCGCCAAATTTGTCATGTACCGAGAAGTTTGACTTCTTCAACTTCACACTCTTGACACTGTCTTCTTTACAAAGGATTCTGTCGACGCACTCTGGTGCTGTTGCCATTGTACATGAATGTCTTCATGAGCGTGCAGAACTGCTCCACCTGCAATCCGCCACATGATTGTTAGCTGCCAGATATAGGCGTTGCATCACGCGTTTCATGTCCACAAGTGCCAATCCAACCTTACGATCAACATTGTTGCTGTCGTCAGACACATACTACAAAGTCGTCGATAAGCTCCTTCCATTCGTCGCCCTCATTCGCGGTGCACTTTCCGCGATTGTCGGCTGACACGGCTCGTCTAGCGACTTTGTCACGAAAGCGTATTTGTCGAGTTATTGTTCCGCGTTGGGTTCGCTGGTCGCCCCGCCACGCACGACAAGTCCCACAGCCTGTTCTCAGCCTTCACTAGAAAAGATGCAATGGGGGCCTATCAGTGCAGCAGCTAGGCAAAACTGCCAGGACGTCGAGGAGCAAAGGATACAAGAACACATGCAAGTAAGCCGAAGTTTATGCGCTGACTCAGTTTTCGGAAGTTGACGTGGGCCGAGAAAAGATAGCCGTCGATCGATCGTACTACTGGGCAAGAGCTTGCCTTTGCTTCTGGATGTTTACCAAAGCGCAATGGCAGCTTTTCTCGTCGCAGCGAAGCTTGCGATTCACTGCTATGGCGATGCATAAGTGCAAGCAAATGACCTGTTCACAACAAGTGCATTGTGATGAGTGACAGGCTCCTACATGTTGGACGTGCTCAAGGAAGGCAAAGAGTCTACAATTGAATATGCAATTTGGTATTCATAGAGGAACGAATGCCTTGTATTAAATATCGCACTCGTGTCTTTGACCGAATGATCCTTATTGTCAGCTTTTCACGCTATTCCAAATCTTACCGACATTAGGCTGCTTCATTTGGAACACGCAACGTAAACTGTGGCGCTTTGCTGCGAAAACGTACTAGCGATTCATTGCGCACTTGTCTTTCTCTACGCTGATGTACGACAGGCTGTCCAAGGAAATGAACCAGCGGTAGGTATCTTTGATTGCACAGTGATATTGTCAGCAAAAGCACAGCAAGTTTGGGCCTGGAAGCGTATGTAGGGTACGTCAAAGTAGCAACTAACTGCATTGTCGAGAAACGTGCAGGAGATCTCAATTGCGTCGTCCATGCAAGACTTATTTAGATTGTAGCCACGACACTGCAACGACTGCATAGCGTCGAGCTCGCGGCTATATAATCTGTACCGACGGAGTTGTGAAAGTACTTTCATACCACGCACGGACCATGCCACTGTCTCGAGTTGCCATGAGATGTAAGAAATTGATGAAAAAAGTGCCCAGCAACAACTTGATCCAATACACGCAAGCAAAACGACAGTTGCTGCGAGCAAATCGACCCTTGCTCGATGTCATAGCCATTTGTTTCAGTGCGTCATACACTCCAACGACGACGTCGCCACACACACTCGCTGGTCAGATTACTCGCACGCAATTGCAGGACGACAGTTGTTCTGCCAGAGACGACGACGCGCGTAGCACAGAGCCGTCGGCGTGGACGCCCAGGGACCTGTGTAGGTACTGGCATAGACCCATCCATGGTCATCGCCCTTTTTGGTCGAGTACGTCCATCCGGCCCCTTCAAGGCCTTCAGGTACTTTTGGTGCCACATGGTCAAAGTTGTCGGACGAGATCTGGAGATCCAACGTGCTCCACTGACGACGTTCGCTGTTGTGCGAAGGTGTCCACTGGCCATCCACGTAGTCCTCGTTCTCCCATACACACAGTGTCTTTTGTCCATCTGTCTCCTGTGCAAAGCATATCTCCAGTTGGATACTCGTCTTCTTGTCCAGCAGCGGCGATGCCAACGCTTGTTTCAGAGCGTCGGGCACTTGCAGCTCGTAAGTCTCCAGGACGGCTTCGTTCGGACGCTGTTCAAAGCGTGACAGCGGTAGACGCACTTCCCCCAGCAGATCGTCCAACTTGAACCGGTCGTTGTCGACCACTTGGACCACCAACTGCCGCTCGGGGCTGCTCGGTGACGTGTGCAGCACCTCAAACTCAAACGTCTCGGCGGGCTGCCACACGGGCTCGAGCGTCCCGTTCACACAGGACGAGCGCAAGTACTCGTCGTCGAGCTGGAACGTCACGAACGGGTCACTGACGCTGCCTTGGATGTACGTGTCGCCAATGGGCAAATTACTGGCGCGCAGGAGCGTCACGAGGAGTTGGGGCATATTGGATACGTCGGATAATTTGCACTTCTGATACTTTGTCTCTATGAACGACAAGTCGAATTTGCAGCTACGTTGGACTCGGAGGACGACAGACTGACAGACAGACAGACAGACAGACAGACAGACAGACAGACAGACAGACAGACAGACAGACGTGTGGGTCGTTTGGTCTGGTGGGGTTTTGTTTGTGGGTATTAGCTTTGAGTGGTATATAGAGTTCGAAAGGATACGCTTGAAGTGGGGAGATGCAGCGTCAACGACATGTACGTCAACGACATGTCGAGTGGAATGCATTGGTCGCTAGAGCGTGAAAGTAGACCCGACCTGTCTTAGTGCACTCGAGCGTTCCTCTCTTCATGGCATACCGCGATCAACGGTAGTAGTTGCTGGAGGGACGCGTGAGGTCGCTGCCTCTGCACTCACGTGGCCCAAGTCGTGAGAAATGCCAGTCTTCCCAGCAGACGGCAAACTGGAACTCGGAGTCGGGTTGTGGTCAACGTCCGTTGATGCAGCAGGGGCCAGTGGCATCATTCCGGTCTTTCCAGTCTCTCCTTTACGTCCCGATGCACCATCCGGGTTACTGTCGCGTACGACAGTACTACCGCTGCTGTCGACTTTGCCACCGTTTATCACGACGTGCAGATCAATTTTCCCTCCGGCCGACGCGTGCGGTACCCACATGAGTAGCGAACCTCCGCGAGAACTTGGCAGACGAAAACGTCCTTGTCGGTAGCGTTCAAGATACAGCGTTTTGTCTTGGAGGTCTTTCACGGTCGCATTCCAAGACACGGTCGAGCCGCTCGCTACCTTTACTCTCGCCACAGTATCACCGCCAGAGCGGATCACGACCGTCACGTCTTCTGAGTCGAGACTCTGCAACACGATGTTTACTGTGCCATCTCCCACCTTTCTCCATGTACCATAACTTCCTCGAAACACCTGACCTTCTGTCGTGAGAGATAGTGCATCCGTCAACGAGCCGTCGTCTATCTCGCCGACCAACACGGTGGGGCCGCAGATTGGCTGAAGAAAGGTGCCCACCATGTCGGCTATACCAGTCGGATCGAGGATAGCAATGACGTCAATACCCATGTCAGCCACAGCCAAGAGGTAGTCTGTACTTGAGAGTGTCTTTCCATTCCCATCCACTGCACTGTCCACAAGGCCATCGACAATAGTGCTCATGACGGAGCGCAGATTATCCAGGACGCGATGGACATTGTCTTTGAGGTTACGGGAGCAGTCATTGATCGCATCGGGTAAATTGATGGTGAAGAGATCAGACGCGCTCACTTCCTGGCGGATGGTACTGACAGCAACGAGAGGGTCTTTCTGTTTCATGGCGACGACAAACTGAGTCAATTCGTGAACTACTGCGTGCAGCTTTGCCCCGCAAGTTGCATTGGCGCTAAGCACATCCTGCAGTTGCGCTTGACTTTTGGTATCGAGATTCTGGATCGACTCATCGACGCCTGCGTCGCTCATGAGTGCCAGGAACGAGCTCGAGTTCAGCAACGACGACCCGTTTTCCGCTACAGCTGCGACAATCTGATCGACAATAGCAGCTACAAAAGGCGTGTCGGGGGACACGGGTAGATTCAGGCATGTGCTGACTGCAGCAGGTAATTCCGTGGTGACGATATCTGACTCGTTGACGACGCCCATCGCGCGCTGGTTCAGCGTTGCATTGGCCTGGACGTCGTCAACGTAGCTCACCAGAGCGCTCGTCGCAGAGTAAAGCTGCTGACCACACTTGACGCCAAGCTGGACAGCCCCACTTGTTTTGCGTAGCTTGCCAAATACGCCTGCGGTTGCAGTGTTGAGCGCCACGGTAGCCACGGAAAAGACTTTGTCGAAGATCTGCGCCGTGCAGCCGGCAGTGCGTGGGATGCATTCCATGCCACATTCGACAGGATAGTCCAATGGACACTGTGCCCAACACGTTGCAATGCCGTCCGACTTGTAGCCTTTCGCGCAAGCATTATATGATAGGTACGTCTTGCGATAGCAGCCAGAGGCCGATGCATTGACAGGGCTCACCCAGTTCGGGAGTTCAGACGCAGTACCATACTCTGCCAACGTCGTTGCAAGGACAATGGCACGTAGATACGTTGCTGCGTGTCCACGCATGACAGCACAACAGCAGCACTGAAGTTCGCAGCAAAGGGGGAAATGAAGAATGACGTCGTTGTTGCTAGCAGCGACTCGCTGCGCGGTCGATCGAGTTGTCGTTGCATTACCGATCGACGTAACAACCGCTCGACCAGCAGCTCAGCAAGTTTGTGACGTCTGTTCACGAGGATCTACGAACGTGCAACGAGCCAGACGACGAGAACGACATGTGGCAACAAGTCCTGCACGAGCGCCACCACACAAACAAACAGCTGCTGGTAAACAACTGGATTACGCGGGTGGAAAGCAAGAGAAAGAGTGCGGGTTTTTGCACGTTGAGTGTGTACGCGTTGCCGCGAGCTCCCTTTGCTTGGCTGACAGTGTGAGATAGCACAGTGATGTAGACTAGTACTACACACACGTTGGTGATGGCCAACGTGGCAGCAGTTACGCAAGACATCGACGTCGGGATGACCTGACGATGATTTGACATTGGGATGTCGAAACAGCAACAAAAGTCGAGTTTTCTGCATCAAGATCAGACTTGCGGTCAGCCCGAAGCGACTGTATACGTTGTCGATATGAAGTTGGATGTATCGTATTGGTTGGAGACAGCCCACAGACCGACCTATGAAAAAGAGGCTGAGGCTGTTGCGTGCGCCGGCGCGATGAGTACACTTTGGCCAGTTTACTGGTGTAGGAACAATCGCCCACCACACCTATGAATGGAGCGTGCGACTACACGACGAACTACAGCGTCTGTGACAAAGACACAGGTCGTGTGCCGTGTGCCGTCATACTTCTCTGTGCTTTCGCCTGACGCTGTGCTCCGTTGGACAGAAGCAATCATACAATGAGTGCTTTAGTGTCGACAGGATTTGCAAGAGAGTACGTCCTCTTCAAGCAACGCGCCATTTGCGTTATGGTCTTAGCCCCACTACGTTCGTAGGCAACCGCCACGTACTTCTGAGCCTGTGGGTGTGATGCGCACTGGCGTTTGCGGTATCCGCCTGCTGTACATCGAGTGGATGCAGATAAGCATGCGGTACGTAAAGGACAGATGGGTGAGTGGGGTGTCTCATGGCGGCAAGTATGGCGGCTACGGCTCTGCCAATACGTGGTGTGTAGGTTCGAGTGTCACAGCCACACGGTCCACTAACAGCCGAAGAGTGTGAATCGGATGGTGTAGCGCGACTTCCTGTGCTAACAGATCATCTGATGTGTAGGACAAAAGTGACCTTGATTGGGTTTGAATCGAGTCGTTTCGATATACTCGGTTGTAAACCTACTTCATTGCAATCTATCAACAAACCAGTATCTCAAGTACCTGATTCGCCACTCATGTGCGCGCCTGTCACCAAGTATAACGTGTATGGCTGACCGATAACCTACATCGGCCAATGCGCAGTGCGGTGTCGACTAATGCCGCATTTTGCTGTCATAGTGATAACACCATAAACATCATCGCGCAAAATGCCGCAGATCCATTGAATCCGCCAAGGAAGTCACTAGCAAACACCATTGTAACGACGATTATTCGCCAGGATAATTTGACAATCTACGTGTATCGAATTATATCACAGGCCCACTCTGCTGCATCAGTCGTCTTAACGATAGTCACATCGGTGATTTTCCTGCTAACATTGAGTGTCCACCGTCACGTGACTCTGACTTGATTATCACTTGTTGGTTCGATTAACTTGTTCCACTTTTTCCATCGCATACCTGTCAATGGGAATACATGCGGAATGCGTCGAAGGATGACCAGAGCGTAGCTGCACGCTCACACACACTCCCACTCGGTCCTTTATCACTCAGATCAGCAAACTGTTGGTCTTTTGGCGCTTGCAAATGTCACTCTGCGTCAGAGTTTGCCGCAAGACATGCTATTATATACCACGTAATAATGGCGCGAAGCTCGAGCTCGTCTACTCGTGCGAGTCAGATTATGCGTTGGACTTCGAACCAATCATCCTCGGTTTCAGCCAAAATTGCAACGCAAAGTGCTCAACGAAAGTACTTGCTATGGCGATTAAAATGAGAAAAAAACCGCGATATTCCATGGTCGTTTGATTCCAGCGATGACTCGCCTTTCGATTCAAGTCGTCTCAATCGGGAAAGCGCGACGAGGCTGATCAATTCGGCTGCTATGATCATTGGGGGGTTTGTGACAATGATATGCTCACCGTAATCAGAGCGTTCGTAGATTGCGACTAAAGTCATGTTGTCGTTGTGGTTAGGCCTTACAGAATTCAAGATGATCCTTGTATTACGTCGCGCTTCTAAGGTTAGCCGTAAGATTCTTCTCCGCGGCAGCTATCGTAGATGTGGCGTCACAAGCCACTTCAACTAAGTAGTTGCTTTTTCAGTTCAAAGACCTTACGCCTTCTCTCCATTACTGAAAAATGGGACGCACTTTTTACCAGATAAGCAGAACGAACTTGTACAGTCATAGTACAAGGGTGTGCGCTAACAAAACTACGCGTACACCGTAAGAGCAGAAGAATAAGAGAACCTGAGTGAGAGTTGCTCAGAAGAAAAAAAGTAAATCTGTAGATTACATTTTGTTTAGCCCTTTGTAAATAATTGTCTCACACTATAAAAGCCACAAATTTACAATGCAGAAACTCACCCACCACCGATTGCGGGCGCCTAGCAGCGATTTAAAAGGGTTCATTCGGTTGACATCATGGCCTATACCACCTATTTGTAAAGTATTGTCGATTATTACCTCTAAAGATTATTTTTAAGCAATGTTGTCTCGCAAAGGCAAGAGCGATGGTCTCACAACATGTGCCAATATTACATTGGCACATGTTGTGCCAGTGACATGTAAGTGGCATACCCCATACAACTCTACATGGCCCTTGGTATAGGGCTCGCATATGTTCTGAGATATCCAGGTAGAATTGCTAGTTTAGAATCCCTCTGAGAATTAGGGTATCACCTAATCTTAAAAAATCCTACCGATCATTAGATCAAGCTTGCTATTCTTTTTATAAAGACTCAGCACATCTGACATCGCTTGATAGCAAGAATCCAGGCTGTCCTCAATAAGCAAGTAGTTACGCTATCGGACTTAGTAACTCCGTTGTATAGCTCCTATTTCGATGCGTATCAGTACGTCATCAACGAAGGGTGCTAATTACAGCGATTTTCCATCGACCGACGTGGTGCGGGTGCAAATCTTTTTCATTCGATTTTCGAGAACGTACTTGATCGCGTCGCATTGCGTAACTGCTAAGCTATGAGATAATCTAGAGTGAATACGGTACCGACATTACTGTGTAACTAATAGGCAGAACTTCGCTGTGATGGATGAGATATCGTATAGCTTTTTTAGTGTTGATTGGCTCCTGATCGCGCGCAACGTGCTTTTTAAGGTGATCTAGCGACAGCTCATCATATTTCAAATGTCGTGTAGTGATCACTTTTTCGATCGAGCGCGTACCAAACATGATCCTTCAGATCGAATAGCTGCAGACTACTTGATGCCGTAACGGCTATCATTCCGTCGTAAAAAACCGTGTACTGACTGTAGGGAAGAATACGTCAAACGTAATGTCAACAAAAATGCGTGCGCTATGTAGCAAATCGATCATGGACCGATTCTAGGGACCGTAGCTTTGCAGGGACCGACATGCTTATACAAGTAATCACTACTTATCTTCTTCATCACTACATGGCTCAGTATTTTTTGCGTACAATAATAGTAATTATCAGCAAAAAATATTGAGCCTTGTAGAGATGAAGGAGATAAGTAGTAATTACAGATTACAGAGATCCGAGGATTGTCCACACCCGCTCCGTCAACGATTAGACAAGAACGACGCAAGATAGAGCGATAGAAGACACTTACTTGATCCCAACAGAGTGCTGTTATTTGCAAAAGGCCTCAAACGAGCAACGTAGAGGGGTAGGCACGAAACTTACGCAGGGGGTCAAACAAAGTCTATGGCGCGACCGATCCGGGACGCCAAAAACATCGACGTAAAGGCACGTATCGAGTACACTTGTAGCCTTAAACGTGATCTAATGACAGAAAAGTGACCATTATTTCTCGATCCAATGATCTCTTGATGTCCAGCGATGCGGCATCAATTGAGATAGCACCTGTCGACTTGCACTCGAGAACGTTGATCTGGCCACTGCAAAGCAGCTCACCGACCTTGCATGGCCGTGGTCAGTCAGAAAGGAAGCGACAAACATACAGGTGCTACCCGTGGAAAGGTCGATCCCGGTTCAAGTTATACGGGGTAAGGATAATTACCGCAATCCCGAACTGTGCACACGCTACTTGCTTATGATTAGTCACTAAGTTGCGAAACATGGACCGACAAACATTCGTTTAGTTATACTCCCTAGTGCGTAAGCGACGATACCACATATGAAAGTTATGGTCGATGCACGGAGAGTTAGGGGAGGCAACCTCGCGGTACAATCTTCCTCTACTGCGATTAGTCTCTGGCAACATATTGTCATCGTGGTCTCCATCATAACTTGCTCGTCTAAACGTCGCCACGTGATCCGTCCTTTTATTTGATCATTGTAGCCGTCTTGTGATTACAGGGTCGGTGCCTTTCTGTTGTGATGCATTCTATCGCAGTTAAGATGTGTTGATGGTTGTTTCTCGGACACTAGACAATACGCAATCAATATTTGCGTAGAGGCACCGATGAGACTCTTGAGCGTAGGTTTGGCAACAGTCCAGTCCGGACTCTAATCAATGCGTGCCTGAGGAGCAATTTGAATTATAATCGACATACACGAACCAAAGTAAGACGCCGACAGCGACGCCTTTCACGTACGATCATTTTATACGTACATATGTGTCGACCAGTTGCGAGACGTAAGCTTTTTAATAATGTTAAGTGATCGCCTACAATGTGTCGCCGCCCTTATTTGTACATAAGGCAAATTGCGTGCGTACGTTCGCGTATTTTACAGGCTCTTGCGTGCTTGATTTAGTTTTTGATAACACGTAACTTCGAATGCATATAAACTTACCATTGAGAAATTTGAGAATGTTGACAATGCTTTAGTAACAGAAAATGCAAGACAAATTATTTCAGATACGCACATACAGAACGAAGCTATGACAAGCTTAACTATCCCTACGCACGCTTACTTGTAAACTACCATTCGATCTCCAAGTTACGTTCTTATACATTGTTATAATCGATGCACTTTGAAGTACAATTATCGGCCTCTTCGTATCAGAATTCAATTCTTACATGTAAACGCAATGAACTGCATTCGGTGAAGGCATGCAGTACGCATATTATTATACAAATGGTTCCATTTTGCTTGACAAGTGCTAAGAATCAGCGTGACTGATTATATCTCGAATGAGCTGACACAAAAAGAACTATCGTGGACGGACATGCAGCCGTCAAAAGAAGATGTCCTTGTCATGAGCTTCTCCACGACAGCGTAACCTAAGACTTTTGTTACTTATTGACGACAACCGACTTCGCTTATCGAAGACAACATTTCTGCACACGATATCGCTTTTAAGCGAAGGAAGCGACGTCATGGTTATCTACGACTGATGCATGAAGTAGGAGGGCACAATCTCAGCAATCGTGGCACTTAGCTTCTTATGGATGATACAGAATGGTTCAATCGAAGCAAAACCCCAAAGACATGATCTCAATCTATCTCGTCTGCGTGCAATACGGTCGTTATCTACAGACTGTATCAGTCTGGCGTACAGCGTTGATGCGGGGGCAAGAAAGCACGTATCAAGACAGATCAAAATTTATGACATATGAGTGTCTCCGAAGGCGCTCGTTATTGCTACCATCTTCGCTTCATTCGAAGTGCGACAACGGTACAAATTGCACAAATCGATAAGCATTGGCTGAAGTTGAATAAAGTAGCAAAGCGGACTGGAATTCCTTGCCCTTCGAATAGGAAGTATTTAGTGAATGGAGACTACAATATCCCATTTATGAAGCTTGCTCTTTATCAGACCGATGTGCTCTGCTGTACGAAGGCCAAATTTATATGATGGATCAAAGAGCTTATTGTTGTTCGCAAAAATGTCAAATGTGTAAAGCACTACCGTTTTCGACGAGCTGTTGATTAGTAGAAAAGAATTTTGCAAAAGCTACAAGTCAGGTTTAGATTGGGTGCGATGTGCGTAGCGAATATCAAATTAAGGATGTGGGCAACTCTACAGTAGCCCGATGGACTTTTATACGATACATCGAGCAGGGGACAAGCATCACGCAGGACGTTTACCTTTTCAGAACAGATTTGCCTTTCTGCGACGGAGGACACATGTCCAAGCCGTCGACTTTTTTGTAGACTTTTGTCTGACCGTTAGCCGATCATGAAATCTCGTCCTCGGTAAGATCCGGTCAGCACTTTTGTCTTGTTTAGTATAATCAGAAGCTTCGCATCTCTACATGGCATTGCAAACACGCAGCTGCACAAGCAAAGTTCTCAGCACCTTCATCTTGGCGTTTTACCTTACATCAACGTCTTCCTACTTCGATAACTCGTAGTGAAGTCTCGATAAGGTACTTGTTGCTACCGCTTGTCTTGCTGTAGGTGTTTCATCTTGTTAAAGCAACGACGTATCCTTCTGTGCTGGTGCGAACCATACTTACACAACAAACGCTTCCAAATAGTCATAGGGCGCATTCGGACACTAACTTACAGCTTACAACTTAGCAGCTCTGCAATAATGTCGATGGACGCCATACTTGACAACATGCAGGAAGCTAAGATCTGGAGTCGAAATCGACAGAAGGAGCACTGCTTAGTGATAAACGTTGTTTGAACTCGCTTGACGACACGGTATGTACCGAATGCGATTGTGCGCTCTACGTGTTTTTTTCTTCTTTTGTTCCCGAATGCAAGCAGAACTTGCGTTTTGTATGACCCAAAAGGCAGCCAGAAAGCATCACGACTTTTTCTCCAATTCCGAAGAACATTCGGAGCTCCGATCTGATTCGTCACGCTCGGTCCGACTCTCCGTCCTCTATCTGAGCGAGCAGTCTCCGGACAATTGAGCGCATGCAGCAGCTCCCTCCGTTCAGGCCGTCTCTGCGTCGGGCAATGTGCGTGGTGCTGTTCGCCATCGAGCAGACGCGTCGCGTGCTCATTGCAGCCATTAGTCCCCGAGGTGAGCGACACGGATGACGAGAAACAACGGAACGAGTCGCCACTTTGTTCGCTCAGCTATTCGTCGTTTCGATTGGCTTAACGTCAACGTCTCGCGGGCCAATTGTCGATTTTGTACCAACGATTGTATTCGATTGTGTTTCGGGCTACGTGTCCTATTGTTTGCTTATCGGAATGCATAGCCGCCGAGACAACGATGGAAATACGCGAGCAGGACTTTTCCTTCAGTGGTAATGTCTCTCATGTGTCTCTCTCTCTTTCTTTCTTTGTATGCTGCGTTGCTTGGTGGTAATGGATACGTTTGTCGTGGGCTTGACGGACTTGTTTCCATGTGTGTGTGATGTGTGATGTGTGTGTGTTTTGTTTGTGTTGTCGCGATTTACTACGTGTTCGTCGATGTCGCCATTGTGTTTGCGTTACTTGGTCGTAGACGACGCCCGTGAGCGACCGGTGATTGAGGTCGTGACAAAAGATGTAAGGACGGCAGACATTTTCTACATTCTGGAAGGTACTCGCGCCCCTGTAGTCGAAGAGGAATGGCGCCATTTGTAGCTTGGTTGCTGATGGGGTGCTGCCTTGCATGTGCTTTTAGTGATTGGAGGGGAAGACGAGATTGTTCTGGACGAACCTGCATCGTGGTGGAAGGATGCAGTCATCGATGAGTTTTCGAGACAGGATCTTCTGCTGCTGGCGTTGATTGCGATCTGTGCACTTCGCGTGCTACTTTTTGCAATGAAGGTGACGTGGAATCTGATACGATGGCCGGTGCAGTGGTATAGCAAGCTACGAATCGAGGCGGATGAAGATCACGAGCGTGCAGATACAAGCAGCGAAAGTGTGAGGAAGCAGTTGGCTATCATCCGCTTTTGCCATCTACAGTTTGCGCTAGCGACTGAGAAACTGAAGCGTGAAATACGAGAAGACAAGAGCGAAGACACACACGACGTGGTGGCGTTGCTGGCTATACGTCAAGACAACGAAGCGACAGAGGTAACGCTTGCTGAGATATTAGCGACGTTGCGAAGCATCCAGAAGATGGACATCGATTTTAGGTTAAGTGAGGTGGAAGAGCACCTTGCAAGTATCCGACAACACGTGGAAGATGAGGAAGCTATCGACTGTCGACTTTCAGAAGCGTGGACGCGATTGCAAGAAACCTACGCTTTGTTTCTACAGCTGCAAACGACAGCGGCCCGTGGACGGACGCATAGAAAGACGGGGCAATGGCAACAACACCGACGGCACCATGAACAATGTCCACAAGAAGTATCTGCACGTCGCCCACGTCGATTGTCTAGTCGCGAAGACATGGCTGACGAGGTGCTGCATGAACTCCAAGAGCTTACAAAGGAACTACCGCAAGGCTTCACAGCCGACATGTTCACGTCACTAGGCAAGGTCATGCACGAGCAAGTGGCTCGATCGAAGCGAGATTGAGAGCACAGGGTTACCATGGGAAGTCCTGTCGCTTCATATCTCTCGCATCTGGAAAAAGTGCACGAAGCACAAGAGTCTGGATATGATTGACAACGGGTGAAGTGGTACCGAGTAAGTAGTAGTCAAGTCGTAGAGTAGAGCGACGTCGTAGTAGTGATTGTAGTCGTACCAGTCAGTAGTCGATGGTGATCGTAAACTAATATCGTAGGGATCATGTACCATACCTCGAACACTTGTCCCAGTCGAATCAGTGACTAAATAGTGCTCGTCTCAGTCGATCAAACGACAAAAGTGCTTTTTTCAATCCGATCTTCACTGGCGAACGAAGGATCCTGCCACTCCCTCGTTTTACTGCCTATACAAAACGCCCATACATCGGATCGCAGGAGTTGGTTGCGCGTTCGGGGAATCAGCCACTGATCGTGATGGACTCAGCGACGCCGACTCGGCACTTTGCTTTGCACCACGTGAACAACCGCGCGAAGATGTCGCCGCCGCCACAACGTCGACGGGGCCGCAGCCCACTCGCGCTCCGCTGCGCTCGGCATCTGCTGGCGATCGCGTTTTTGCTCCTGAGCGCCAGCGACGCGCGCCGCGTGATCGCGGAGCACTTGCACCGTAAGTACCTGCACGACGTGTTAGGTATACATGGCTATCTTGTGTAAATAGACGGTAAATTACAATGTTGACTCATGTGGTTGTGCTGGATTTTGTGTGGGTGTGTGGCTATGGTTGTAATTATAATGACGACTCGGACCATTATTGGAACGTTCTGATTGGTGCGCTAGCGTCGCGGCGTCACGTGGAGATCCGCGTGGACGACTTTTCGTTCTCGGACGGACAAGAGACGCAGCCAAATGTGGCAATCAAAGCACGGGACATTCAGAGCTCAGAGCTGAGTGGATGGCCGGCGATGGACGATTTGCACGTTGTAACGTGGGACTTGACAGACGAGATGGACAAAATACCGCGCATGGAGGAACCAGCTGTTGTTGAAGTAGTGGGTCCAGTGGAGCCACTGCCAGCTGTTGTTGCCGAAGTGGGTCGGCTAGAGCCACGGACAGCAGCTGTTGGACAAGGAACAGACAGTGAACTTAGTTTTGCTCCTGGAGGAGATACTGTGGATGTGGACGTGGTTGCAACAAAGAACAGGCAGAACGTCGTCACGTCCGAGAGGATTGGCGAGTCCCGCACAGCTGTCTGGTGGTGGAGTCACGAGAAGACTGAGCTCACGACACAAGAACAGGCTGCTGTGCTGGCAGTGGTCGTGGCGATGCTGCTGGTCATTGGGCTTGTCTTGGCAGGATTGTGGCACTTGGCGTGGTTATCATGGCGGCTGTATCGAGAGCGACAGACCCTGTGGAAACTCTTTCATGAAGAGGACCCGGTAGTGTTGGAGCAAGAGTTGCGCGAATTCCCGGCCGACCTCTTGTCACTGCGGATCAAGCAGACTGCTTGTGTGAGGCTACGCCATCTGCAGGTTGTTCGGCAGGCACAGGATTTGAAGCAGCAGCTCGAGGCGGTTGAGTTCCGTGAAATTGAGATGGCGTTGGTGGAGATGCCACTTCACGCGGCGAGTCGGAAGGAAATGACATTTGCAGAGATTCTGACCACAGTTGAAGAAATTGCGTGCAGGGGTGAACAGGTGGCAGTGGAGATGATGCAGCTCGTTGTTCCTGCGCGCTGGAAGCAATACGTTGACGAAAAGATGTGGCTCGAAGCTCAAGATGAGAGTCTACAGAGTTTGCACTTGGAAAACGCGCGTGTCCAGCAGCTGGCCGAGCAAATTTCGGAGCTTCTTGTGGCAAAAGTAAATTCAAATGTGGTGATTCCGAAACCAGCGTTCCTGTCGCTGCTTGCGTCGCTCCGTCAGAATTCGGAAACGCCGTTACAGAACAGCACGAACGGGAAGGCGGCGTCTAGCGAGTTAGACGCATTTGCACGATGCTGGAGCGGTAGCATGACGGCGAGCGGCAGTGGTAGCCATCTCAGTCGCAATAAGAACAAGGATGAATTTAGCTTCTTTCTCAAGGCTTTTGACGAGGTGGCCGAGCAACAGAAGGTCCGGCAGGAACTAGCGGATGCTATTGACAAGTTCCAGTCAGCGCACGAGCCGGAACACGAACAGCTACTGCTGCTGGGGAATACAGAGATCGTGAGCAGTGGTCAGATGGTTCAACAGACGAAGCAGCCAGGTACTGCTGCAAAAGCCGGCGGTGGAACCACTGCTGCATCCATGCGTCGTCTAGAGCGATGGGTGGACGAAGCTGAGATAATGGAGATGACTTATGTTGAGGAGGTTGAGAGCGCGCAATTCATGCTGGAAGATGCCCGACGTGACAGCTTTTGCGCCGCAGTTGTTAGCAACGATGGCAAGGGCCTCGATAGTGTCGAGACATTGGCAACCAACTTTGTCGCGCTTGGCGCCAAGCGCCAAGATGCCATCTTGAAAGCTGGGGAAATCCTAGCCAACCGCTCGAATATGATGCTGTTGGTAAACAGTCTCCGGGGCATGTTTGATCAGCTGCGCAAGCGCGATATAATGAAGATGAATGAGCGGCGAAACCGCGATCGCACCAAAGCCCAAGAAAAGCGTGACCGCGTGGCTCAGAAGTTCCACGACAAACAAAGGCTGATCATTGAGAAGATTGAGCGAGCTCGCGAGGCCCAGCGACTTATCGAAGAGGAAGCGCGGCTTGAGCGACGAAAGGAGGAACTCAAGCAGTTTCGTGCTCAAAACGCCCGGAACCGTGCATCGTTCGTCTGGACGGTAACAAAGACTGACGTGCTCGTGGTGTTGGTGATCATGGCTATCGTGTTCTTTGACAACCTGCGGGAAGTGGCTTTCGTGAAACCTTTGTGTCAGCCTGATAAAGCGCACCACTGGTGGATGGTTTCGTGGTGGACGCCGGCATCGCTCCAGGTGTTTGGTTGCGAGGTGGTGTACGGACTGAAGATCTTGGGTATCCTTCTAGCACTCGGCGTGATTTTCTTCGCCGCAGCTCAGCTCAACATGGTGGCTGTCATGTTGCCAGTACTTGGTGCGATTGTTCTCTTTTATCTACGGGACGAATGGATGAACATGCTCTTCCGCCTGCCACTATTGCTCGTCATCTACGGCTTCAATTCAGGCATTCTTTACCTGTTCAACCGTTTCGAGGACCGCAGTACCGATGACCACGATGATCACGTGGTCAAGACGCTGGACAAGAGTGGTGCGATCACTCCAACAAGAACGAAGCGGCGGAGTTTGCTACTTTACGTACTGTTCCCGCTATCGTCGTTCCTGCTGACTGTGGTAACGGGCGTTGGTATCGCTTGTGACATCCCGGAGCAATGCGCCACGTCAGCTTATAAGGCTGCTGCGCCTATACTGACAGGTCTGTGGGCGTTTGCACGTGGAGCTTATCGGTTATAGAAAATGTATGGGCAATCAATCGCACGCCATCCGTGTGATATTTGCTGGAAGACTCTCAAGAATTTTAAAAGGTTAAAAGTACACTGCTACATTGGGATACACATTGGTGCGAGTGCGGTGCTAATTCTTGCAAAGAAGTCATCAACACGGCTGCGAAGAGTAAGTGCTTACGTTGTGTACTGCTCACAAATTGTCGCTCGCTGTCCAGACAAAACTTAACTGCAACGTGTCTCTTGTGGCCGTTGTCATTTATTGTCACTGACAGCGGCCGTTCTTTTGGTCTGACGGATGGGCTGTATCGGTGTCAGACTCGGTGGACTACAACTGGTGGTGGAAAGTCGAGCGCGTCCACGACTGAGGCTACAGAGAAAGTTACAAGGTTCGTGCAGACACCTCGCCATCAGAAAAGTGGTGCGGATGATTGAGCAACGATCGACAAAGTTCGGCTTGCGAGCTTTATTTGTGGTGTCACTAGATGCTTCACAAGTGGCAAAAAGCACACAGCAGCGCAGCCAGCGTCCCCGCTACAGCAGCAATGCCCACGAACACTGGATGCACGTCCAGCAGTGAGATTCCGTCTGCTTTTTTTCTTCGAATCGAGAATTCGCGCTTGTCTTCAATTGTGTCGACAGGCTTTGTGCTGCGGGGAGTTTCGGGTGCCATTGCCTTCGTATGTTTTGTGTGCTTGCACAATGAAGGTGCCGCCGCTTTCTTGAGCATTGCAGTCTCTGTCTTTCTCGCACGGCGAGTATGACGAAGGACCAGAACTTTCTCGTGCTTGAGCTTCGACAAGTTTGTAGAGATCACGGCAGGCTCATCCCCGGCATTCGAGTCCATGTCCACTGAGCTTTCGGTACAAGTCTTGCCAACACCTGCTGCGAACAAGTGATCCGAGACGTCGTTCATGTGAGACGAGGCCGCATCTTCACTTGAATCATCATCGTCTTCAGTATCCGAGTGCGAGAGAGTAGAGACAAACGGCTCACACTGACAAACCACAAGCACGAATGAGTCAAGACAATGGAGCTACTAACTACAGCATGAGGCAATACGGGCTAACCTGAAAATCTCGTCGAAAAATGTGGTCGGGGTACTGTAGAAGCGTCTGGACGAAGCAGATCCCCAGTGCATTGTCAACGTTTCGATCGCTGCTCTCACGTGTCGCTGCGGTATCGTGGACTCCAATCAGTTTGGCGTGATGTGTGGCGATAAACGCAGCAAGAACCTGTTCACGGACAGCGTGTTAGTGGAAACGCTCGAGCCAATGGTACAACAAGTGACACTCAACTGTTACCTTGTGAAATGGGTCGTGCGCAGAGAACCAGCGCAGTAATTTGACCAGCGCGTCGAGGCACTCGCGCTGTTCGATAGTGATGGAATCCACTGCATTCACGAGCGGGTACAGCACTGGCTCGGGCACAGGTTCTCCACTATCGCTAGTGGTTTGTTTGGTTACCAGGAGATAGTCCAGGGTCGACGCCAGCATCCCAGCAGGTTCACACTGGACCAGCGGCGCCTTGAGCCGTGTCAAGTACGACGTCAAGAGCGCGACGAGTATTCGACACTGGACTGCTGGTTGCGTCCGCTGGTGTCGAAACAGCGTCTTCATGATCGCGAGCACCCGCTGTTCTTGCAGGAAGCCGTCGACGTCGCAGTTTGCATGCACTTCACGACGCGCCCAGGCAAAGAGCGTCGCATGGACTCGACAGAGCACTGCGTCTGCTGTCAGTGGAGCGCTCAACACGTCGGACGTGGGGGCAGTGCCCGCGAGGAAAACCTGTGCGAGCTCAGCGGCCGTCGTCGCCGCCTGTGCCGTCTGCGCGAGAACGACAGAGAGGAAGAGCGCAATGGAGCGGATCAGGTGCAGCAGAACCTCATCTGCTGCGGCCGTCTCGTCGATGTCGATGATGTCGTTGTGGGGACTGCTGCCCTCCATTCCGTTTTGCACTGTGCCTGTCGGGTCGTCCAAGCGCACGGGTCGATCTCCTGTCTCCTGCGCCTGTGAACGAGCGTCGGATCGCACGGTCGCCGTCTGCTCACGTCAATGCAACTCGAGTCGTCACTGCTACTGCTATTGGGGCACCACAATGTCACAGTCTCAAGTCGACAACAACCACAACAACACCTGTCGAGTCGTCCGCGTGATCAAACGCCAATTCAGTTGTTCCGCTGCGCCACTCGAATCGCGTCGAGCAGTTTGAGACGACGCCAGCCAAAGGATTCGCAACAGCTGCGCGGGGCTGTGGCGCGAGGACTGCACCACCACTCGCTCAGCGTCTGTCTATCTGTCGGTCTCCTCTTTCAAATCCATCAGCTGGTTCTCGAAACGCCGTCTATCGCATGAGTAACGACACTGATGTGTGGCCATCGGCCTCTCTCTCTTCTCTCTCTCTCTCTCTCTCTCTCTCTCTCTCTCTCTCTCTCTCTCTCTCTCTCTCTCTCTCTCTCGGCGCTGTTCAGTGCTCGGCACTCGATCGAACGAACTCCGTTTTGCTGCTCTTCCCTGCGGATCCCGTTCAAGTGCTCTGCTCGAGCAGAGACCGCACGAGTCGCTTTTGCACTTGAAGCAGAGCACGAGCTGCTGCGTCGGTGCGCTGTACGGCACTTTGTGGAGGCTGTCCCTCGTCTGCCGACGTAACTTTCGACGCCGGAGCCGAAAGCCGCGGGCGAAGACCCCGCAGTTGTTTACGGACCCGCTGTCAGGATCACGTCGTACTACTGAGGCCCGTGTGCCTTCGTCTATTTCAAAGTGCATCGCGTCAACCGTCTGCAGCCCCACACGCGGATCTTCTTTTCTTGTGGTCCTGTGGATGCAACATCGATGCGCAGCTCGTTGCCGCCTGTAGCTGTCGTCTCTCTGCGGCTCCAACCGATCGATTCCATTGCACTGGGAGGTGCTGGATACCGAATACCACTCACTTACTTGCACTTGCGACGCAGACGTCTTCTTGACTGGACCATGGGATAGCGTATCAATCGATTGCAAAAGCATTTTGTTCGTACCAGGCAGTGGCTGGAAGTGCAAATGTGGCAGCTGTAGTGCAGCTCACACTTGCAGTTGGGCCTCACCTAATTCGTCCGTGAAGATGGTAGAGGCTTTATGTACGGGCCGTGACACCTTCAAGTGTACCGACAATGGCTGCGCTGTACAGCAGTCTCAATGTCTTTACTGGCTGACTGATGAGCTGAGCATCCTCATCTTAGCTGCACGAGAAGCTGCTGGTCCGTCAGCTTCTTGTCGTAGGAAAGAAAAGCAGTCAGAGAGTCCTTTCACACTTTGATCGGATAGCGACAAAACCTGTCGCTTCGTTTCGTGTCGACATCGACGCGTTGTGTCAAAACGAGCGACTGCATCCTCTCATCGTTGGCGGTCACGCATCGCGCTCCAGGAGCGAGAGTTTCTCGATATCCAGACACGTGATGCGCACAAGATCGTGCACCCGTCACTTTGCGTACGGAGATATTACCAGGTCGGCTTCTTTTTTGGCAAAAGAAGTAGCTGCATTAGCAGCTAATCCGGCTCTCTTTCGACGCTGATGCTCCGCATATCACAAAGAACGATTGGCACGTGGTCATTCAGTGTGATAGAGACGCGGCGACGGATGGGCTTTCGCCAAGACGCGACGTCCAGCAACATGTCCAAACCACATTTGCGCTGCGCATTGAGAGCCTGAGAAAAAAAGTAATGCGCGTCCACAATCTTATCACTATGCTCGCCGAGCTCGGGCTGGGGATCATCACACTCCACTACATTGAGCTGCCTGGACAAATGCTTGTTCCTTCATTGTTTTTTACGACAGTGCATAGCCACGCGTATGGGTGGAAGCGTCACATGATCTTGGATTCTTACGGCAAGCAACGGTTGGACTTGTTTTGCGAGCTCACCTTGGCGCTATCGAATGCAATGTCGAGGTTGGTGACGATGATACATTTGAAGCACATACATGGAGCAAATTCACCAGCGATTCCATATCTGTCCTACTACTCGTTGTCCGAAGCGCCCTTCGTTCTGTACATTTACGATGCTTGACATCTGTGACTCGGCGCTGCAACAAGCGTAGATATTGGGCATAACGATTGTGAGTGCCACATGCTGGTGGGAAGCAGATCTGCTGCGCCCTCCTGGTTACACAATTTGTATCGACGTATCCTGCAGCAAAGTTGGCGTCTTCACGCTGCAGCATTCTTTCCAGCATCTTAGTTCCAGACGCATGTGGTGGTAACTTGACCCATGACATATTCCCTCGTTCGACTGCACAATCGTTTGCCCTACTGACTTGATGCGGTTTCTCATTCAGCGCTTGTGATTCGTATGTCACATCCTACCTCAAAGATGGTCACGTTGCCCCGTTTTCGCGACAACAAAGCGACTAAGCACTTGAGGATGACCGTAAGATCCGTGTGGACCTGCAGTATGTACAGACCGAACGGTCTCGTGATGACGTCAGCCCGATTTCCTCTCTCTCACACAGAGCGTCAATCTTTGTGCATACTATCCGATGGCACAAAGTTTTTTGCTGACGGCTCAAAGGTCATTCACGTGGGAAAGAATCGATTATAAGGCAAGGAGCCTCCCGCTACGATCCTCTGCTTTAGATCCAGTGGTACACGTCATACAGACCGATTGGAAAAAGTCTCTGCTATCAACGCATGTCTTCACTTTACCTTCTAGGAGCACCGCGTCACTTCCCATTCCTAGTGTTCCCGTGATATCTCTGACCGACGCTTTATCCACCAGCATTGAATATGTTCAATGCTGGCAAAGGGATGGCTAGCAATGGGGAAAAGACAAAAATACTCGTGCATTGTGGAAGAGATGACACTATTCGGGCGACACTCACACACAAGATGGCGGTCCCACTATCTGGCAAGGCACGGCACACAACCGGTTGATTTTCTACCTAGCTGAAAATCACCAGCTCCTGCAGCAATGCTGCTTACTACAATAGCCATCACGCAAAACCTTAAGGAGTTGGAAAGATCTACTCATTGCACAGGTCGCTTCTGTACATTACTCGTCGCGCCCTTGGAACCGTACAAATCATTACTCGTTGCGGCCCAGAAAATCAACTAGTCGTTGCACCCTTTGACAGGTCTGTCTAGACTGACATTATGACCGTCGCACTATTTTCTTATATACCTACCCATAGTGATGTCGCGAGAGCTAGAACCGAACAAGGTGAGCCCGCAGCGTGATCAACACGGTCAACATGGCTGTCGATGCGAACACTGCATGTTCAAATAATATGCAGCGATTTAGTTACCTTTACGAGTCCGCGTTTCCACGAATGCTTTCAGGATAACTTCGCGCAGTATGTAATAACACACTACTCATTGGCTGTTATAGATCGCTGATCGACCAACAAAGCACCAGCTACTGCGAAAAGGCGCTGATTTGTGAACAACAAGACAGCAAACGCATCGGTATTTGGATATCGTTGTTGCGCGGTTATCCAGAAACACACTGAGATACAATACATAGAAACACTGTTCCCTTCTCCCACTCAAGTAAGTGTTACCGTTAAGAAGATTGCACTTCCTCTACACTTTCAGTGTACGTAGTTTGGGGTCTCTGTCAATATTGTACTAAGTGTGGACAGATTGTCTTGCCGTCAGCACCAGCGTCGTGTGCCCCGTTTAAGGGCGCAGTAAGCCATTGTTATTGTAGCGTTCATCGTAAATTAGACCCGCACTGGCAAAAGTTCAAACTTCTGACGAGTTGCGATATCTCTGGTCTCGTCCCTCATCTGCTGTACTGTTCTAACCTGTCAGTCCCCTTTGTCGGCATGCTGCATCAAAAATAAGCATGAAAACCTTAATTGGTCAGGGCTTTCTTCATTAGCCGGAGCTGGGATAAACCGCCTCATTGTTGTCTTCCCCCCGTTGTAGCTTTTATGGGAGGCTGGATCTTGACAGATCTCAGCCAGCTTCGGCAGGTGCGCTATCTCGTATTTACAAAGTCTTCAAATGTCCATTGTATTGTCGAATCGAAACTGCCAGGTTTGCGACTAGATCCCTGATGTCCTCCTGATCTGAACTGAATTTATAGCAACAAGTGGATTTATGGCAGAAGCCTACTCGCGGATGACCTATAATTGCCAAATGTACTCTAGGATGAGAGCTACACTCCGGATCATGCAGCACTCAAGCAGTTAATAATGATTGTAAGCTCGACCTTACTTCATTGTGTAGGTCTACAAGACTAGTTGCTTGCACAGTATCATCTTTCCGGGCGCCTTGTCCTCCATGCGCTGCCAGAGTTGTCGGATACAGACTAATTGCCGATAGTAGGTTTCTATCTTTCTGATCATCTCAGAATCGCAAGGCTGATGCTTTGACGTGGCGTTTGATGCAAAAGTAGGAGACCGATACGTTCCTAGCCAGGAGTGCGATCAGGAAGCGCAATCAGAGGCACGTGGACACGTGCAGGTGTTTGGCACAAAAATGACATGTTCCTTAGCTACCCGAAGATCGAATGCCTTAGGTCATTCAAGCCAACAGTTTGTGCCACATAAGCCAACACGTGGCAGATGCAGCAGCTGAGGTTGTTGGTATTACTGCGGCGGTGGCGGTACGAATGGCAATGTGATTAATGTCATGTAGCCCTTACGGTCCAAGCACATGGCTGCTGCGCGATGCTGCGGTACCGACTAAAAATGACTTGTGGTAAGGAACAAGTACCCACAAAAACCCGCATGTCGTGTAGACACGTTATTGTGTTGGATCACTCGGTATTGCGTTCTAAGAAAAGTAATTTTCTCGATTAGAAGGAAATGCATCAACTAGCTGACAGCCGTCTTGTTTTGTGATATAGTCGAACAAGACAGTAGAAAATACTCGATAAGCGACGTGTATTGTGATCAAAGGTCACGAAATTAGTTTGTCTAATCTTTGTGCGCGCGAGAGATCTCTCCTCGTTAACGCTTTCGCAAAGAGCAGATAAAAACGTGCTTGCAAAAATGTCCACCGATTTTTCTACATGGTCAGCTACTTAATCTGACTCCATTAGATAGCCTTGAGCATGTTTACACCCCGAATAGTCCAAACGCACTACCCCCAGAACAACATGATTCGATTCGATCTCAGGGCTACTCTCCGACTGACGCGTATTGGTCGAGTGCTGATGCAGCCAGTGCGGGTATGTACCTTCGTGCACAGTGTTTAGTAAAAACACGTTGATACATTCATTCGCACCAACTTCGCTATCCTCCCTCGGTAGATGCCCTTCCTCGTGAAGCGATTCCGATCGAAGGGCGAAGTATGTACGTTGACTATTGAACACAAACAAACACTTTGCGGAGACAGAAGCCCGACGCCACTTGCTCATGCTTACTCGAGCTTCACGCCACCGCTGCCGGCTTCGAGTCGCTCGACGTGAAGACGCACATGCCGAATCTCGAGCAAAATCTCGTCGAATCCAGCCTTCATGTGGTCCCAGCGAGCCTGTGCGCGATCCTGCCGCCTCAGAATTGATTTGAGCATTTCGCCCCAGAACGCGCTGTTGAATGCGACAGCAACAACCACAAGCCACTGGAACCACGTGATGTACTCGAAGCCGAAGACGTCGTCCATGATGACAGGGACGTTGGATACGAGGATAGTAAGCACCAACGACATGCACGCTGCGAGCTGCATGTATCCGTTCGACAGCATCCGCGTGAACACTGGATCCGTGAAGTGACGCACTGTGTAGGCTCGGAGCACCTCCGTGAAAGCCAAACCCAAGAACACCATCGTCTGCGTGCGACCCAGACCCTCCGAAAGGCAATCGTAGTCGCGTCCTCCCTCACAGTACATTGTGGCGTTTTCGAACGAAGACATGGCTGCCACTTCTTCGCCAAAGATGTACATCCCGTCGGTGCCCCGTGCAGCACAATTGCCATACGTTCGCCACCCGTCGTTCATGCCTCCCCAGCGAAGGCACGTCACGTCTGTGTAGTCTGTGCCACGGGGACCGCCACCAGCGTAGTAGATATCGTCCGATAACAGCTCGCCAAAGTTCCAGTACAGTCCCAACAAAAAGGTAGTCAGGGCGCCTGCTAGCAGCAGGAAGGCATTGAACAGCACAAGCAGCCACAGACGTCCGACAATCAATGGCGAGCCCTTGTGACGAGGCTTGTCGTTCATGATGTGCGGGTCGCCCTTCTCCAAGCTCAATGCTACGGCAGGCATCCCGTCGGTAAACAGGTTGAGAAGCAGAATATGGAGCGCTTCCAGTGGAAGCGGAAACCCTCCAGCCACCGACAAGAAGATGAGCACGATCTCGCCAATGTTCGTGGACAGCAAGAACATGACAAACTTCTGGATGTTGGCGTAAATGACTCGTCCCTTCTCCACTGCCGCCACGATGCTGCAGAAATTGTCGTCGGTCAGGATCATGTCAGAAGCGCCCTTGGCGACCTCGGTGCCCGATATGCCCATGGCCACGCCAATATCCGCTTCCTTAAGCGCTGGTGCATCGTTGACGCCATCGCCAGTCATCGCAGCAATGAGGCCTTGACGTTGAAGCGACTTGACGATCTCGATCTTATCTTCCGGCTTGGCCCGAGCAAACACCAACGTACGCGAGGTGATCTCGTCGATGTCGGCTGGTGGGAGATACGCGTTTCCCTTGAGACGAAGTTTGGTGCAGTCCGTTGCTTGAGCTTCGAGATCAGCACCGACTTGCAAGAGGTCAATGTTCTTGGCAATTGCGACTGCCGTGGCTAGGTAATCTCCCGTGATCATCACGGTGCGAATGGAGGCTACGCGTGCAGTCGCGATGGCATCACGCACTCCGTCGCGCTCTGGATCAATGGATGCCATTAGACCCAAGAACACGAGCGGCTTGGCAAGAGCAGCAAATTTCTCGTCGACATCGTCGCAATCGCGGGCGTAAGGCAGTTCATGCAATGGTTGGATGGCTACTGCGAGCACGCGAAGAGCCTGCGATGACAACTCCTCCACAGCCGCGGCAATCTCATTACGGTGCACACTGTTCAGCGGCTCAAACGTGCCGTTTCTTCGGCAGTACTGAGTACAGTTTTGCAGAATGTAATTTGGAGCGCCCTTGACGCTGGCCACGAGCTTCGGCGCTACGGCACCAGGGAGCACTAGTGCGTCAAACATCCCAGAGCCATGTACGACTGGAACCGCGTTCACTGTGATCATCATCTTGCGCGACGAGCTAAATGGCACTTCGACGAGGCGTGGGTAGTCTTCCAGCAGATTTTCTTCCCAGATGCCTGCTTTTGCAGCTGCTACGACCAATGGAGCCTCGGACGAGTTGCCGAATGGTAACCATCGTGAAGTATCGCCATCATCGTCTTCAACTTCCTTGAGTTGCGTGTTACTGCAGAGCACGGAGGCCATCAGAGTGGCTCGGACTTGAACGTTTCCAGCCTCAGCAGGAGCTTGGTTGACTCCGTCAGACGAGAGGATTGCGCCTTCGGGGTTAAACCCCTTGCCGGTGATCGTGTACTCTCGGAAATCGCCCCAGAGCTTCACAGCAGTCATCTTGCCCTCTGTCAGGGTACCCGTCTTGTCTGTGCAAATGACTGAAGCTGCACCTAGCGTCTCCACGGCTGCAAGCTTCCGCACGAGCACGTTTTTCTTTATCATGTCGGCCGTGCCAGACGACAGACAGATCGTCACGACCATTGGCAAACCTTCCGGCACGGCACTTACTGCAATCGACACGGCGGTCATGATCATCGTCAAATACGTCGGTCGGTCGGGATGGCGAGGGTCGTCCGTGCCGCGGACCATGCCGACAATAAAGACCAGCAGCGCCACGCTCAGCGCAATCATGCCCATGATAAAGCCCATGTGGTGCAACGCTCTCTGCAGTGGCGTGAGCTTGGGCTGGTGCTTTGCAATGCAGTCGCCAACTGGATTGCGGATCCACTTGCGCGCGCCTGAGGCGGTGGGGACCTCACTCTGCGCTTGTAAGAGCGCTGCAATCGAGCCGACACGCGTGTGCATGCCCGTCTCCACGACCACGCCGCGTGCGTTCCCTGCGGTGATCGTCGTGGACGAAAACACCATATTCCCAGCCGTCAGCTTGGCAGGCTTCGAGGCACTTGCGAGCGGTGCATTGTACTTCTTCGGCACGTCTTCCGACTCGCCCGTGAGCAGCATCTCGTTGCATTTCAAGTCCACGCTCGTAAACAGCCGCATGTCGGCCGGCACGACGTCGCCCGTGACGAGAATCACGACGTCGCCCGGCACGAGCAGTTTGCTGTCGACCACTTGCTGCACACCGTCGCGCAGCACGAGCGACTGCGGGCTCGACAGACTCGCGAGCGCAGCCAGCGCGTTACTGGCCGAGTACTCTTGGAACGTCGCAATGACCGCGTTGAGCGTCACAATCACCAAAATCGCAATGCCTTCGACCCACTCTTGCAGCGCGAGCGACGCCAGCGCAGCAAACAGCAGCATGGCAATGATCACGTTGTAAAACTGCAAGAGAAAGACCACAGCAACTGGCGTCCGCGCTTCCTGCTCGAGCGCATTCTCGCCATAGCGCACGAGCCGGCGCTCGACGTCCATGGCGCTGAGGCCGCGCTCAAAGTTGGTATTGAGCATCTTGGCAATGAGCTCCGTCGAGCGGTGCGGCCACGTCTTGTCGTCCGTCTCGTTGAGCGTCGCAAACGACTCGCGCGTGGGCACGGGGTTCGCAGCGAGCAGCAGCTCCGTGTCGCTCAAGAAGCGGGCGCGGTGGCCCGGCAGAGGCGTGCAGGGACCCGCGTAGCTTGGCGCGGCGTTGGTCGCCATCTTGGCGTCGACCGAGTAGAGGTCGGCCGAGGAGAACGAGCGCGTGCTAGCGGACGGGACGTCTACGACGCGGTGCGAGGGCAGCTCGAGCGACTGCGCCGACGCGCGAGGCGACTCCATCTGCGTGTAGTTGTCGCTGTTCTTGAGTGCGCGCGAGGGCAACGAGGTCCCGCTTTCGTATCCCGACATGGCGGCGAGGGACGAGTGCGTGCAGAAAGAGAGAGAGAGAGAGAGAGAGAGGAGGGAGAGAGAGGGAGTGATGGTAGGCGAGCGCGCGGGTGTGGGATGGGCGGTGGGTGAGGCCAACGAAGCCAAAGTGGAAATGCGCACTGGTGGCAATGCGCGCTGGTGGCAATGCGCACTGGTGGGGAAACGTGGACATGGAAAGGTCGCTGTTGGAGGCTGGAGGTGGTGATGGATGCGCGTACTTCAACGCGCAGTCTGCGAAGGGCGCGCGCGCGACCTACAAAGGCAACGAGAGGATGAGCCTTTTTATTACTCGCGATCTGATTCGTTTCGCTGGACGAGACCCCCACGCTGTCGACAGGAAAAGACCTAGTCACAGGACAACGTTGGTCAACACACCTTGCCGAGACATGTATAGAAAAACGTTTTGGTCCTCGTCTGCGGTCTTCTCGGCGGTAGGCGGTAGTTGCAACGTTACATGTGCACCCATTGATGAGTGATCGGTATTGCTAGTTTCGAACAGAGCAGGCTCGAATCCGGACGATCCGCGAGACTGTTATGGGTTTCGCCTCGCGCGCAATTCAATCACCTTGTTCTTACTGCAACATGTCGGAATCGAATTCGTGCAATGCCAGTGCAGTGAGATAGATGTCCGATGTCATGGCAGTCACCACAAGTGAAGTGGGTCCGACAAACGCCGGCTCAGCTGAATACCACATGAATGCGCACATCTTCTGGTGTAGGCTCGGGAGATATCATCATCGCACAGTGGCACTTGCTTGTAGCATGCATGACATATCCAACACGGACGTCTGCGCACAAGTAAGTTGTCTTCAGACTCATTCTAGTGACAGCTGGACGCCGCCGCAGGGCTTCAACTTCCACCTACATGCCCTGTCAGTGCAAGTGAGCCGAGTGCAAGAACCGGATATCTATGCTAGTGTCACACGGCAGAGTTCTAGACTGCTTGCATGCAACGCGAGGAAATGGCCAAGTGCGGTTGAAGTTCGCAGACTCTTTACTGCTTCAATATCGGTTACAAGCAGCAATCAACGCCCAACCAGTTCCCCCTTTTATGCTATGTGGGACGTCGTCGATACATGTACCGACCGACCTCCGTTCCGACTTACCGCGCGTTCTGTTTACCACAATGACCTCCTCAACCGGCAACTGCGGGAACATGTCGCTCGTGACTTGTACTAGAAACATGTCGCTCGTAACTTGTACTGACGAAAAAGCGGACCAAAACACGGTCCTGTAGCGCTTCTCTCCGCACACGGGCTCCAATATGGGGTGGTGTCCTATGGTTTGTGTCGGACGGAGAGAGCGGGCGAGCTCGCGGCTGCTCTCGCAAGGGACCAGAGCGTGTCGTCACTCACGCTCTTGCTACACATCTCAAGACGTGCGTTGCACCGAACTTCTGCGAACGCCCTCAACATCGTGCGGACGAGTGAGTCCATCCTCAAACGGCCTCCGAGACGCAGTGTCTGCTCCGGACGTGGATTACGATGGATTATGGACCAGAACCGGTCCGAATCCATCATCATAATCCATGGCTTTCTGCCGTAGATCCACTGCGATCAGATGGCTGCTCTCCATCGTTTACGCTGTCACTGAGCAGCTCCGCGAGTTGTGGCCAGGGCCGCGGCATTTCTTGCACAAGCGAACACGCTCTACTGTCAGACCAGGCTCCGTGTCGATGGCTGGAGTTGTGCTGCTCACGGCTATGGCCGCCACGTCCGTTGCAGGTGCGGTCCGTTTAGCGCCTGAGCAAAGAGCAGTGCCGCGGTCCTTCTCGGTCCCGTTGCTACTGCCCGTCTTCGCGTGAGGCGAGCGCGCCGTGCTGGCTGGCGAGCCACAAGCAGCGTCCTTGCTGAGGGCCACATCGAGCGGCAGCTCCACCACTTTACCCCGAAACGCCAGGACGTAGTTCTCCACGAGGTACCCAGACGCAAACCGATCGATGATCGAGTCCATCTGCTCGCAGAATAGCAGTACAGCAATGAGGTGGCGACACGGAATCGCGTACTGGTCGATAAAGCCACACGTGCACGTGCTGGCCTGCAAGTCCACGCGACGCCGGACACCACAGTCGTTGGTCACTCTCGTCACGAACGCGACCGTTTCAGACGCACGGCCAACTTTGTACTCGCCAATGCGCTTGTACTGTGCGTCGTAGAGGTCTTGAGCGCCTTGCGTTACTTTCCGCTGCTGCCGCTTCCACGTCGCTGCCAGCATACTGCGCTCGAACGCGTCTTGCATGAACGATGCCATGATGGTCTCGAAGAATGTGAACGGGAGCATGTCCCGATACCGATCCAGTCCCTTCGCAGCAGTCGGTCCTGCAGATGCAGCACCACTAGGGCCCATCATGGCATCGTCAGGCCTGGAATTGACCTTGAGACGCACTGCAGGTGCAGCTGCACTGACCCCACAAGTACTTCCCACGCTATCGTCCGCTCCAAGCTCCAGAGCTTCGACACTGGGTCCGGGTCCGGGCCCAGCATCGACCTGCTGTTCCAGCTGCTCTGACGTCTCACCAAACGTTCGGCTGCGCCATCCGTACATTGCTACCTTGCCAATGTTCCCTGCAACAACCCACCGCTCGATCGGAAACTGTCGGAGGTAGCTCTCCACGCCCGGACCGCAGGCCGTGCCGATCCACTCGAGGCGGCTGTTGTACTCGGCCTCGGTCTCGGATCCCTGCAGCCCCCACACTAGTGCGTGATGGTGGTGGCTGAACGTCCCGAGTTGCGCCAGCTCGTGCTCAATCACGTACTGGGTGCAGTAGCGCAGCGTGAGCCCCAGCTCAGTCTCGACGGCCATCAACTCGGCCTCCATCGTACACAACACGGGACAGTAGCGCACGTTCACGCCACTCGCTTCGACACAGCGAAAGAACCACCGGTAATTCGCGCTCGACGGCGCATCGCAGCAAGCAGCCGCAATCGTCACCGTGCCCATGTTGCCATCTTTGCCCAGTAGAAAGAGCTGCACGCCGTGGTAGTTGGCTATCCTGTGGTGACACGGCCGCACTTCCAGGCCATAGATCTGCTGGTTGAACGTCGTCGCGTCGGTGAACACGGAGCAGCTGACGAACGCTCGCGAGAACGCGCCCGGCACGTCACTCTGCGCGTCGCTGACGTCGTGCCGCGTAAACGAGCCTGGATTCCGGTCCACGAACGCCTGCAAGAGCGACGGGACCTGGCGGAACGAGTGCCCGACTTGCACCTCGAGCTCCCGTTTCATCATCTGCTTGGCCCGATACACTGTGCGGAGGTTCGCTTTGCCCTGCAGCTGCTGCAGCAATTGCGCGGCAGTTCCATTCGGCGTCGACGCGAGCGCCTGCTGGAAACTGAGGCTCTCGACCAACTGGCGCTGCGTGGGCTTTCCCGTGGACGTGCAGCTTCGCGAGTGCGTGAGCTCTGCGCTCGAGACGTACCACGTCTTGTCTGTCTTGGAGTTGTGCAGGTAGAGCCGCACAAAGAACGGACAGGGCGCGGACGACGCGCAGACCATCTTGCGGTGTTTGCCGCCGCGCCGATCGACTTTCACCTGTTTGTTGTGAAAGAGCGCGTAGTCCTGCACGGCGTAGAACGCCGTCTTGCTGTCCTGGAAGCGCATGCCTCTGAACAGCGTCGGCGCGCTTGGGGCCGCCGCACTGGGTCCCGGAACGAGCGAGCGCTCGGCGGGCGCCGGGCTTCCCGCAGTGGCGTGTTGTGTGTCGCCCGTCATGTTGGTGTGCGACGGTCGGAGGGGGCACACTTTGTCATTTCTCGACGGGCCATGTGTTGCCCAAGTGAAGTAGTTGCAGCCGCAGGGCGAGTTTCGGGTTGTTTTTTGCCAATGGTAGCAGCGAGTGAGGGAGGGGCAGGTGAGTCGACAATTATGGCAAATGGGCAGTGCCGAATGCTCACCGAGTAGGGGTGTGGAGCTGGGGGGGACTGCACCACGTTGTGTTTTGGTGGCGGGCGCTGGGCGCGGCACGGCGAAATATAAGATGTGAGAGGTTTGACATCGAGCGGGGCCAGCGGGTCGTGCGATCGATCGATCGATGGCAGACAGGCACTTACGTGTAGCTTCAAATCGTCACACTTTGCGCACTCCGAGCAACAGTCGCTCGCACATGGAGTCCGACAGACGGGAAAGTCAGTGGCGACAAGACCAAAAGGGACCGCGAAGAGGCAAATGTTGTAGCTTTTGCACCCGCGGGCACTCGACAGATGTCCAGTTCTAGATCAGCATACTGTCTGTAGGCGAATGCCCGCAACGAACACATAGCACGAACCAGACATTGGCGGCCCGCACGATCGCGTTTTTCGACAATGTCAGAGCATTTTGTAGCATTGCCATCCTGTTCAGCTAGTGCTGAGTGTAAGCGTGTACGTATACAGACAGGTCCGGCTCGATGACGACACTCCAGTAGCTTGCAGCACTGGTCATCGACTATTTCTTCTTGCGAGCAGCTTTCATCGCCGTCCCGAACGCAGCATAGTCCGGATACTTCTCGATGAAGAGAACTTCCGGCATCAGAATCCACGTGATGTCACTCACGACGTCCACACGCTTTGTGTTGAGGTACTGCACGCGCGGGCGCAGGCAGCGATCGACGCTGCGCACGATATATCGCGTGTTCTTCTCCAGCCGTTCCTTGGTAAAGCCTACCGAAATCAAGAAGTCGAATGATTCGCGCATGACGCTGATGTTGCTCATGACGATACGACAGTTGCACAGCAGAGCCCGGAGACCAGCGCCAGCACCAAACATCTCGTCCATTGCGTCTACCGTTTCTTTGAGTCGGGATACAGTCAGCGCGAGGCACTCAGGGACCGACGACACAATGTGCGGCAAGCGCTCGCGCGGTACACCCAACTGTACCAGATAATCTGCTTTGCTCCGCAGTCGGTCGACGCTGAGGGTAAAGATCTGCGGCGACCTCGTCAGCGCGCTCGTGATGTGCTTGTCAGTGCATCCTATTTCTCGCAATAGGTCGACTTTCGGATCCAAGTTTTCCTGGACGCTGTACGACACTCCCTGTGGGAACATGCTGAATAGATAGGGAATCTAGACACACGGGTGCACAGTAGCAGTGTAGCTCGGTTAGCAAACAAACAACTACCATCAACAGCCCAACGCATGTTCATGCAGTCGTCTCTCGCTCGAGGTAGCGCAGACCCCACCTTGTCGTGAGCGACACCGTGCGAGAGGTACCACTTGACGAGCGCTTCGTACTTGTCGATCGAAATGCCCAAGATGTTCGGATGGCGCATGATGATCGCATTGATCTTGTCGTGGCACAGACCCACGTCGCGAAACCACGACACCTGTGCAACAGAAACAAACAAACGACGTGCCAGCACCTCACAGTCAGTCGCGTGTTCTGTCGATGCCAGTCACGTGTGCATGCCACAGACACACACAAACCCCACCTTGCTCTCCATGAGTTCCTCCGAGTAGTTCACCAACTATCACACATCACAAATCATCACTACCACTGTCAGTATCGAGCCGCTCCGATGCCGCCACGAATGTATCCATGTCCAATAGTGACGTTCGCCACACCATCACATGCTGCGAGATCGCACGTAGCGCCTGAGCCCGACTCAGCCCTCTGCCTTCCAAGTACTGCGTCGCACGGTCGATCAACTCAGAGGTCAGCGCCTTCCTCGTCACGGGATACTTGCGCTTGATTCGGTCATAGTAGAAGCGGTTCGTATTCGCAGACGCTGCAGCGGTTACCGTTTGCTTCCGTGCGGCCGACGTGAAGCCTCTCGACAGGGCCGGAGACGTCCGTCGCCACAGACCCACGAGCATGCGAGACTAGCGATTTTAGGTTTTGCTTGTTTTGTCGTGCCGCTGGCGGGTCTGTGCGACCTAGATCTGGAACCGCCGGCACGCACCTCGGTTTCTTTACCACATCAAAACGTAAATTACGACAAGACAGGGTCGTTTTTGTGAGGACTTTTGATGGTACTTCAAGACGTTTTTTGTCAATTAGAGACCTTTCTCGGTACTTCAAGACCTTTTACGGTACTTCAAGACCTTTTGCGGTACTGCAAGACCTTTTACGGGACTGCAAGACCTTTTACGGTACTGCAAGACCTTTTGGGGTCAACACAAGACAATTGTTGATACTTCGAGACCTATTGAGGGTTCACTGGCTGGGACCCTTTTCGCCTCCTTTTGCTCTTTTGGCCATACCCCAATGGCGCTCGCCTACATCGACTGCTCGGCTGGCGTCGCCGGTGACATGCTGCTCGGCGCGCTGATCGATGCCGTGCGTAGTGACGCTTACACTGTGTATGTATCGTACTCACCATTCCAGAGGCTGATGGGTTGTTGCTGTTGTGTCGTACAGGGCGCTCCGCTGGCGGAGATCCAGCGCGGACTCGAGTCGCTGCACGGGATCGCGGGCGAGTGGGAGCTCCGCACTACGAGAGTGTGGAAGGGACCGGGAAGCATTGCAGGGACCAAAGTGCACGTGAGCTCTGTCTACCAGCACAAAGAGATCGCTCCGCCTTTGCCGGCTCATGGCTTGCAACAATACGGTCGTGGGGCTGGCCATACCCACACGCACAGCCATGGGCACGGGGGCACACATACCCACGTTGACGAGGGTACACGTAGCCATGACCAGGAGGGTACACGCGTTACCCATCGAGTGGAGACTTTGACGGCCAACGAGAATGGTCACGAGCACGCACACGACCATGAGCACGAGCGTGCGCTCGACGGGCAGGAGCAAGACGTTGCCCACGTTTCGTCGGAAGTGACTCATGAGCCTATGCGCAACTTGGACGACATTAAGGCGCTCATTGCCGAGAGTGCGTTGTCGGACTGGGTCAAGGCCAAGAGCGTGGCGGTGTTCACGTTGCTGGCGCAGGCAGAAGCTCACACTCACGGGACAGCGCTGGAGAAGATCCATTTCCACGAAGTTGGAGCGATCGACAGCATTGTCGACACGATCGGCTGCGTGATTGCGCTTGACCTCTTTGGCGTGCGAGAGGTGCACGCATCATTCGTGCCCTTCTCCTCTGGGACAGTCAAGTGCATGCACGGAATCCTGCCAGTCCCACCGCCAGCTACGTTCCGATTGATGATCGGGGTACCGGTGTGCCCAGCGCCAAAGGGGTAAGTCCTTGCGCTCGATGTTGGCGTAACGTTGTACGCGTAGTCCACTTAGTGGTGTGCGGTGCTTGTCATGTGTAGCGCAAACGGGGAGCTCGTGACGCCGACGGGCATAAGCCTCGTGAAGGCGCTGGCGTCCACGTTTGGCGAACCTCCTGCTTTTATTCCGACGCACACTGGCGTTGGAGCTGGCACGAAAGACTTTCCAGAGCACGCCAACATCGTCCGCATTGCAATTGGAACGAAGATCGACCCGTTGGCTCTCGAGAAAAGCTATGCCAATCCGGCAGTCGCCACCTCAAGGTCTGCCGAGCCCGCCATTCAGTCTTGTCACGCCGAGGAAGTCGTCGTTCTAGAGACCAATTTGGATGATTTGAACCCACAGGTAATCGGCTACGTCTCGGAGCGATTGTTGTCAGAGCACCACGCGCTCGACGTATGGAAGCAGTCCATCCAGATGAAGAAGAACCGTCCTGGTGTGTGTCTCAGGTACGCGACGGCTCTTGCATTCCTAGTTTGTGATTGGTTTCTGACCGGTCTGTGTCGGACGTATGCTCAGTGTGTTGTGTCGCGCTGAGCATGAACAGGGGATTCTGGAAACATTGTTCCGTGAAACCACAACACTTGGTGTCCGCCGGTACGGCCATTTTCACACATCCTCTGCTCACCTGCTTATTGGATTGCCGTACATGGGCAGCGAACCGAACATGCTTAGTGCACCTTACTGACACTCGTCTTTGTGCTTGTGCAAACACCTACTGAACGACCATTTGATTGCAGCAAAGTAATAGAGCGCGTTGTCTTGTCCCGCAACTTCGTGTCCGTCTTCGCTTTCGGCCGATCCGTGGACGTCAAAGTCGCGTTTCTGGACCACCAGGCTGTCAACGTACACCCCGAATATGAACACTGCAAGGCAAGGCGCTTGTTTGAGTACCGTACCGTACCGTATCGATCGAGCAAGTTGTCAAGTTCATTTTGCCGTATGCTTTTGTTACGTAGGCGATCGCACTGGAACACCACATGCCGCTGCTACGAGTGATGGACAAAGTGAAAGCTCTTGCTCTGTCTATGATCGGAACGCAGCCATTAGAATGAGTCACGTCACTTTGCAACGAACTCTGCAGCAGCGCTTACATTGACGTTTCTGCAGAACTCGCCACCACCACCACCACCACCCAAAACACACGATCAATGGCGATGCCAGCACTGTGCGTGTGGCCCATCATCCATCTCGACGAATGCTCTGTGCCTCATCACCACACGTGTATCCACCTCCGCACCAGCTTATCGCTTGATCATCTGCCAGACATTCTCGAGCTCGTGCATGCCAGCGCCAAAGATCAGGGCCGCTAGACGACGAGGCATGACACATTGCACGAGGTTAGCCGACAAGTAGGCATACCACGTGTCGTAGACGAGCACTTCGCCGTTAAACATGGCGTCCAGTGCGACCTTGGCCGTGTCCTTGGCATCTGCAGCAACGCCCGGCAGCTTCATGCAGATGGCGTTGTCCAAGTTGGCGGTCTTGCTGAAGTTGGCCGTCGAGAGCGGTCCTGGACACATGCACGTGACCGTGACGCCCGTGGCCCGCACTTCGTAGCTCAGCGCTTGGCTGAAGCTCGTGACAAAGGCTTTGCTGCTGCCATAGAGCGCTGCCGTCGGCACGGCCGCCACGCCGGCCATGGAGCTAATGTTGAGCACGCGCCCGACGTGGCGCTCAATCATCTGCGGGACCAGCGCGTGCGAGAGCTGCACCATTGCGTGGACGTCCAGCATCAAGAGCTCCTGGACCTCTGCCTCGCTCAGCGCGACAAAGTCTTTCGTGAGACACGCCGCGGCGTTGTTCACGAGGATGTCAATCACGAGTTTCCGCTTGTGCACAAACGTCCGCAACTTGTCAATGCCGTCCGCCGTCGCCAAGTCACAGACACACACGAGCACTTGCGTCGGGCGGTGCACGAGCTCCATCTCCGCGCGCATGCGCTCGAGCGCCGAAGCCGTGCGGGCCGCCAACACGAGCGAGTACTTTCGCTCGCACAGCAAGTAGCTCATCTCGCGGCCCAGACCCGCCGACGCGCCCGTGACGAGCGCAAAGCGCTCGAGCGCGGGGGTCGGCCGCTCGGCGCGCCACAGGTGGTACCGCGTGAGCGCGACGTCGAGGCCCGAGAGCAGACAGAGGAGGAAGAGGAGGCCGCGCACGACCCACGCGGTCCACGAGGCGTCGACGAAGGACAGCGCGAGCACGAGCGCGCCCGTCACGTGCACCGGCTGCCACGCGAGGGCGGGCGGGCGCGTGTGTGCCATGTTGCAGCACGGCGCAAGTTGCCAAATGACACGAGTTGCGCACGTGGTACGAAAGCGCGCGACAAGTTGACGTTAGGAGCGACGAGGCAACACACGATCGCAATTGCACGAACGTGTCGCTATGATGCGACATAGCGACGGGCATAGCGAGGGAGGGAGAGAGGCGTTGTTTGTGGTGGGGAAAACCTGACCACGAGCATATTGCGCGTTTGGAAGGGTTTTGCTTGCTTTAACTTGCAGCGCTTTTCAACGAGCGATTACGCGGGCATCTTTTTTGTCTTGTTGTGACGATGGAGCGGCTCCTGACGTACCGCATCTATGGCGCGCCGGCGTACATGGTCGTCCCCTTTGTCGTGCTCGTCGTGGTCTACGTCGTGCTCGTCGTGCGCTTCGTGCAGCACATGCGCGGCCTCGATGTCACGTTTACGGGCAAAAAGCGGCGCCTGGCGCTCGTGTTGGGCCCCCGTGGCGCAGGCAAAACGCGCTTTTTCCACCTCGTGCGGGACGGCGAGCACGTTGAGACGGTGAGCTCGATGAAGGAGCAGACGGGCCGCTTTGTCGTGCACAGCAAGTACAACTCCGACCAGTTTGACGCCGAGCTCACGGTCGTGGACTTTCCTGGCCACGAACGCCTTCGCCCGTACGTACGACAGCTACAATGTGCTTTTGGCCGTGCGCCGAAAGTGGTGACGGTGATGATGCGTTGCTTTTTTCTAAAATGTGCGCACGACCAGAAAATGGTGTGTGGTGGCTGCTTGGTTTCTATCGTGTTTCTTACTGGATGTCACTTGTTTCTATTTGCTTTTTTATTTGGCTGGGGATGCGATAGACGCATGGCCGACTTTTATCCGGCAGCAGGATGTATTGTGTTTTTGGTCGACGCGAGTGACGTGCCGTCGTTCCGCAATGCTGCAGAGTACGTTGTGCTTGTTGACGATGTGGGCGATTTCTTCGCTGCGTTCGGTCGGTGGTGATCGCTGCTGCAGACACATTCGATGGTGTATGCGATTGATGAGGCCACTGTTGACTCACTGACGGTGTTATTGTTTTGTTATTGTGTTATTGTTGTGATTGTGTTGTTGTTATTGTTGTGGTTGTGTTGTGTTGTTGTGGTTGTGTTGTGTTGTTGTTGTGTGTGGGTTGTGGTTGTGTTGTTGTTGTGGTGGTGGTGGTGGCACTTTTGGTCGGCGTAGGTTCCTGTACGACGTATTTGCGAACAAAAAGGTGAATGACTTGACGCCTCCGATGATGGTCGCGTGCAACAAGAGCGACATGCGTGAAGCTGTCAGTCCTCAAGTGGTGCGGGACGCGCTGGAAAAAGAGCTGACGCAGTTGAAGAAGACGCGGTCGTCGTTGGAGACAGAGGGAGACGACGAAGACCAGGACTTGTACCAGGTTCCAGTCGGACGGGATGGCACTCCGTTCGAGTTTGATGTAGACGCGCCGTGCGAGATTTCGTTCGTCAAGTGCAGCGTCAAGGACGCCGAGATTCATGACGTCGTGCGCTTTATCCAGCAGCATTAGGCGCAACAAGAGAGAGAGAGAGAGAGGGAGAGCAACGAGGAGACTGACGATGCGTGTGCGAGGACCGTCGACGAAAGCGACCGATTATAGGGTTGCAAGAGCTTGCGTCGAGCGAGAAGATGAGCGTTGCATCATGCTGCTTCTCGAGTCTGTTTCAGTCGATTGTTATTGTTGTTGTGGTGCTTTTTTGTTTGCGTATACTTGTTTTCTACTTGGCCAGCGCGCACTCACTCGCCTTTGCTGCTAGCTTATGTCTGACCCAAGTGACCGATGCTGTTGCCTAGTCCGTAGAGCTGACCAGAGTACTTGACGGCGTTCTCGACTTTGCCATCGAAAAAGACCTCGACCATCTTGAAGAAAGTCGCGGCCGTGAGTAGCGCGTCGGATCCAGCTTGGTGCATGGTACCTATTCTCTCCACTTTGAGATCCTCTGCCAAGCGGCTCAGGCCTCCCACTTTGTCAAAGTCCATTGCCACGTGCTTCAAGTCGTACGTGGCCGGGAAGTACGTATGCAACAAGTCAAAGAACGTCTCCTCTTCTGCTGGCAACGGCGCACACGTCAGGACCTTGAGCAGGTAGCCAAAGTCCGACGAGCCGTGGAACGAGACCCACTTGACGTGGTCCCCTAGCACCAGCCCCGAAGGCACCAAGAGCTCACCAAACCTAGCAACTTCAATGCCCTTTTCTTCGTGCTTGGCAAAGTCAATGCCTGCCTGTTTGAGGATCTCGATCGAGTCCTGGGCGTACATGTCTTCACTGAGGCTGAACTTGAAGTTGAATTGCCACACCGGCAGGTCTTCCATGTACGAGCCGTCTTCCTTGAAGAACGCCACGCCCAGCTGGATGATCTGTAGCAAGTCCACGTTGCAGCGCAACGTCTGGTACTGGTAGTCCGAGGACGTCGTAAAGGAGCCAATGGGACGTGCCACGACCCCTGGGTACTCCGTGTCCATGGCCACGTAACACCCCCTCGTCACCACCTCTCGAATGGCCTTCATATTCTCTTCGAGATTCGTCGCCCATACGTCCCGAATCTCCACTTCAGCAGGCATCAACCGGCTCGACAACATCGGTGCGACTCGAAAGAGACGGTAAGTCACCAGATCGGGCGCGTCGTCACGTGCTACAAACGCTCTAGCGACACGAGTAGCGATCGGCCGACGGTCGGACCGGTACACAAACGACCGCAAGCGTCTGGACGAGCAGACCGAGCGTTTCGGAACAACAGCAGAGACCGCGACACGCAGCTACAGACGTCCGTAGAGCCGCACGTCGTCACCTGGTCGGAAAAAGCGTGCGTCTTTGGGAGAGCTTCGTCGTTGTTGTATCGTACTTAAGAAACGCGTCCCCAGGGTCTGTATTTTGACCAATGACAACGCGGCGATGGCGTCGCGGACCTTGGACGGATATTGACCAATCATCGATCGCCAATCGAGCAATGGTGCGCCACAACCGGCTGACCCGTCGATGGTGCTGCGCATCGGAGCTGCTCGAGCGCGCCGGCTCTGGCGCCCTGTACCCGCTCGCTGTGCACTCGCGTTGCTGCGTGAGCACGTCGCAGTGTCTCTGGTCCACGTGCAGCAGCGTCAGTCGTCAACGGGGCGCGCCGGATCGACGTTCAATGAGTTGCTAAGTGACAGTCGAAAACGCCATACGACAGACCCATTGATCGAGAAAGAAGAGGACGTTGAAGCCACAAGCGACTCGAGTCCCCTCGCACGTCTGTTGCTGCACTCGAAGCACTTTCAGCTCGAGATGGAAAAGGTTTCGTACGACGACGGCGAGGAGGAGGAGGAGGAGGTCGTAGACAGCAATGGACGAGATGGGGCAGGTGATGGATCGGAGGGGTACAGAGAAAGCAGCAGCACTCGTCGTCGGTCTTCTGACACTTGGGAGCGTCGCTTGGTTCGTCGTCAGCGCTATGGCAATGCTGAGCTTGGGCGGAGTGCAGTGGACCACATTGTGCACAAGGACACGGACGAGATTGACTATGACGCTGGGCTGGAGAACGTCTGGGACGAGCTCGAGCGCAAGCAGCGCAGATTCGATCAGACGCTGCGACGGGATCACGATCGGGACCACGTGTGCACGAACTGTGGCGAACGTGGCCATCGCGCTCGGAATTGTCTCGTGCCGCCCATTTGCTCGAATTGCGGCAACTTTGGCCACAGAGCTCATCAGTGCAGGTACGGACCGACCCCTGACACGATCGATGAGTTCCTCGCGCAGGGTGACGAGATTCACGAGCGCAAGAAAAAGGACCGAAAGGTGAGGAAGAAAGCCATTGAAGCCGTCAACAACCCGAGCATGCCGCGCCCGCAGGAGGTGCCCATGAGCCACTTTTACACGCGTAACGAGGACATACGCAAGGAGCTGGATGCGGAACTTGATGCATACGCCGACGTGCTGGAAACACAAGCTCGAAAGCGCCGAGCGCGGAAGGCGGAAAAGGATGCAGCAACAACGTCAGTGTCCGAGAAGTAGGGAGGAGAGCAGTGATGTGGGAAACTGCTGTAACTTGTGTAATACTCATAAGCGCCAGTGCTGTTCCTGTTTGTCCTATGCCCTTTCCAACGGAGACATGGTCGTTCAACCAGCAGCTCCAAAGCCTCCACCGCCGGGCGTGTACAGCGTCAAGACCTCACCTGGCAGCACGTCCACCGTGTTCTTGCCGCCCAAGTTGACGGTGCGACCACCGTGACGTGAAAGCAAGTTCAGACCGCGGGCGCCAGGTGCCCCACCTTCAAGACCGTAGGGCTGGAAAGCACGTCGCTCTGAAAGGATGCTCACAGTCATGGGCTCGAGGAACTCTAGCTGGCGCACCACACCGTTGCCGCCGCGAAACTTGCCAGCACCTCCTGACCCCTCACGAAGATGGAACGCACGAAGAAGCACGGGATATCGCTTCTCCAGGATCTCAGGATCCGTGATACGCGTGTTGGTCATGTGCGTGTGGATCCCGCTGCGGCCATTCCAAGATGGGCCGGCACCAGCACCACCAGCAATCGTCTCGTAGTAGCCACCCAATGTGGCGCTGCCAAACGTGAGGTTGTTCATGCAGCCCTGGGAAGCTGCGCACGCACCGAACGCCTTGAGGATCACATCGGTGATACGCTGGCTAGTAAGCACGTTGCCCCCCACGACAGCAGCGCTGTTGCTTGGGTTCAGAATGCTGCTTTCGCTCGGGAAGCGCACTTCGATTGGCGCCAAGCAGCCTTGGTTCAGCGGCAGATCTTCGCCAGGTAGCAAGCAGCGCAGGCAGTAGATGATAGCAGAGTAAGTTACTGCTGGAGGCGTGTTCACGTTGCCATAAACTTCTGGTCCGGTGCCACTGAAATCGAACACAGCCGAGTTCGAGCGGCGATCGATCGAGATCGTCAGCGCAATCTTCGTGCCATCGTCCATGAAGTCTTCCGCATACACCACGCCAACTTCAGGCAGCTTCTTCTGCAGCGAAAACTCGTGCAGCATGTTCCGTACCGCGATCTCTGCAGCTTGCTGGATATAGTTCATGTAGGCGGTAACAACTGGTAGCGAGTACTCGGCACAGAGCTCCTGCATCAGCATCACACCGCGTTGGTTGGCTGCCACTTGCGCGCGCAAGTCGGACAAATTGTCGCGCAGGTTGCGCGTGCCAATGCAAGGTCGGCCTTGATCATCTACACGTCCCTTTTGCAAAAGTATATCCGTGATCTCCTTCTCACGAAACTCACCGACCTTGCCTTCTACCAGCTTGAAAGCTACAATCGCTGCACCTTCTTCAGACAGCGTTTTCGACAACGGCGGCATCGACCCAGGCGAAATGCCACCGATGTCCGCGTGATGTCCGCGACTGGCCACAAAGAACTCGATTCTGCCGCTCGTGTGGCTGAAAACAGGCGTAATGACTGTTATGTCTGGTAGGTGCGAACCTCCTGCGAGCTGCGGGTGGTTCGAGACCAGCACGTCTCCGTCATGAAGATCGTCACCCCAGTACTCGAGTTGGTATCGCACGGCTTGCTGCATAGCACCGAGATGAACAGGGAGATGCGGTGCATTCGCCACAAGTCCACCGTCGGGACCAAACAAGGCGCAAGAAAAATCCAGGCGCTCTTTGATGTTTACCGAGACTGACGTACGCGCCAGCGTACGGCCCATTTGCTCAGCAATACCCATGAAACGATGCGAGGATACCGAGAGCTGAATAGGGTCCAGCGGGACATCTTCGGAGCACAACGCGGGGCTGTCCTTCTTCGACCCTGCAGCCTCGGTATCGCTAACTAAGAAGAGATCACCACTTGGCGTAACTTCTACCTCCCATTCCGGCTCGACAACCACTGTGGCTGTGCCTTGCATGATGATCGCCGGTCCACTGTACCTGGCGCCACGGTTCTTGAGGAGCTCTTCATGCAGATAGACGGGAATCTGCTCCCACGTCTTCTTGCTTTCAAAGTAAAATGGCGTTGTCGACAGAAGCGAGCAGCGCTCGACAGCATCCACTGCGTTAGCAGCAGCTCCTACCGCAGGTTCCATCAACTCAGGCGACACCGTCGCGCGTACGCGAATGTCGTCAACAAGAATGGCACGATTTTGCAGCACGAAACCAAACTCGCGCTGGTACATCTTCACGAAATTGCTATCGAACTCGAATTCAGCAAGAGCGTTCGCAGTTACCGCAGGAGCTTCCCCTTTAGCACCCACTGGACCACGCGTCATGACAGCGTTGTCGGTACCGTCGTATCGCATGTTGAGGAAGTACTGCATTTGCACATCTTCGGGCCGGAATCCATCAGCAACAAGCTCGCTGATAGCCTCGTTGGCAATCTTTGTTAGACTGCTGATCAAAATAGATTTCGTGTCAGCGCTATACTTTGCCGACGAGGGTAACTGCTTGTCCACGACGCTATCTGCAACACTCAAGCCATATGCTGAGAGGATACCGCTGTAACGGTGAATGTAGACCTTCGACATGCCCAGTGCCTTTGCAATCGAGCAAGCGTGCTGCGGTCCAGCACCTCCAAAACACGCAAGAACATGCGTGCTGATGTCATAACCCTTGTTCTGCGTAAGGTTTCGAATAGGGCGACACATAGCTTCGTTGGCGACACGCAAAAATCCTGATGCCACCTCCTCCACGGTATACTTTGCTCTATTGGCGCCTGCCGATGCATTAATTTCCTTCGTCAGGCTCTCGAACGCTCGCTTCGACCCGGTCACATCCAGCGGTTCGTCTTCGTTGGGACCAAAGATTTTGGGGAAGTACTCCGGCAGAATACGCCCCGTGACGAGATTCGCGTCAGTAACACTGAGGTAACCGTTTTTTCGGTAGCACACTGGTCCCGGGTGCGCTCGCACAGACTCAGGGCCTACCAGAAAGAGTCCGTTCTTGTAAAACAAGCGCGAACCACCTCCAGCAGCCACTGTCTGGATGTCTAGTTGCGGTGCACGCACGGTAATATTGGCTGTCACGCTCTCGAGGACATGCTCAAATTTTCCGTCAAAGCGAGACACGTCTGTTGAGGTGCCGCCCATGTCAAACCCGATAACTGCAGGCTGCACGGACAAAGCACCCGACTCGGGTGGCCGTGTCGTGCGAGCGTATCCCACTACACCACCGGCTGGACCCGACAGAATCGCTCGGTGTCCATGAAAATGCTTCATCCGCGCGAGTCCGCCATCACTCTGCATAAAGCTAATGTTCACGTGGTCCAACCCTTCGCCAAAGCCAGCACAAAACGACGCGACATACTTCTTGATCACGGGCGTGAGGTAAGCGTCCGCGCAAGTCGTGAATCCACGCGGGACAGCTTTGATCATGGGCATGACCTCGGACGACAGCGAAACTTGCGAGAACCCTAGTTTTAACGCAATCTCGCGGACCTTTTGTTCATGGCGTGGGAACGTGTACGAGTGCAGCAGCACAATCGCTACACTCTCCACCCCGTCATCACGAGCCGCCTGGAGCTTCGCGGTCAGGTCTTCGACATCCAATTCCTGAATCACACGAATGTATTCGCCGCTAATGCCCTGTTCATCGGTCGGCAGCCGCTCCTTTTCATTGTTCACAAGCTGCAGACGCTCGTCCACCTCGATCACCGAGTCATAAAGTGTCTGTCTCGACCCAGTCACACGACAAGCCCAAACAGCACCAAAAACGACCATCATCAGGTGAGCAAGACAACCCACCCACCCGCCCACACACGCAACACCAACGCCCCACAACCAAACGCAAAAAAACAACGCCGCCGCAGTCACTACGACAACCCATGCAGCCGCATGACTCAACTCACGTCTGGCATGCGGATCTCCAAGTCAAAGATCCGCGGACGGGACTGGTTGCCAATGTACAGCAGATCGTGGAACCCTTTGGTCGTCACGAGCACTGTGCGCTCGCCATTGCGCTCGAGCAGCGCGTTCGTCGCCACCGTTGTGCCCATCCGAATGCTCTGGATCCGAGACGTGTCCACGGGCTCGTTCCGCGGGTGCTGCACGCCCGTCGTGGCTTCCAGGACGCGGCGGATGCCCTCTCTAAACGCACATGAACAACCACAGCACAGCCACCACAGCACGTGGTTTGATTACTTACGCACACAACCAGCTCCATAAATTACCCCTTCCCCCGCGTGAAGCTGACCGCCAATAAAATACCGAGGAGCATCCGGATAATTCGCCGGATCTTCCGACAGCAGCTTGATGACCGTCGGACGCACGTCGATGACCGTCCCCTGTGCGTCGAGCACGTCCATCTCTGCGTAGACATCGGTGAACGTACCGCCGCGATCGATGGCGAAGCGGAACACGCGCATTTTGGCGGCTGGGGTGGAGATGGGTACACTAACAGGGTACGACACGCGGATGGCGTGGCGAACGGGGGGCTGGTGCGGTGGGTAATATCGGTGGATACCGGTACGATACGCGGCGCTGAACGATGACGTCATTAGCGCTGGGTGGTGCAAGTTGAGGGTGCGACGACAAGGGCACTTGGGGTGCTCAGACAGTCCATTGGTACAAATGGTGGTACAGTAGTGCTTCGATGCGTACTTTAGTCGCACCTCCTCGTGGGACTTACGGGCCCCAAATTGACGATGCCGTCATGCACGAAAGTCGTACGTGCCCTCTATTTTCCACAACAGGAGCAAGATACGGTCGTAAGGACAAAGCTGTAATATAAGGAGCGTCTGAAGCATTGACAGGCGACTGTTGGCGTCGAATACACGACGCGTTAGTAGGCATCGACGGTTACGGGAGGAACTAGATAGGGTAAAGCTACTGAAAGAGAGACGTCAAATGCTCTTTCGGGTCACGTCGTGAACATTCTATGCGTCGAAGCAGTTTGCATCTGGATGGACCATCTTGCAGACTGCTATCAGATGGAGAGCCGTCATGACTTATCGAAGAAGCTGTTCATCTCCTCATTCTGAATACATTGTCAAAGCAGAAAGGACCTCGTCACATAATTGCAGATCGAGGCTGGAACTGTTGACGTCACGGATTCATGGATCGGTCGTTCATTGTGTGCACATGACTTGAGCCTTAACTTGATTGCTAGAAGGATCCGATGTTCTTGCTCACGGCATTTTTTCTGCCATTGAGCAAGAAGACTAAATACAAAGAAGGTTCAGCTTCAGTTCTGGATGAGCATCGATGCAGAGGCTGGACAGCTCTCGGACTTCGCAGAGCAATTGGTCTTGTAAGATGTGTCGAATGCTTGTGGTATGGAGTAATGCTTGATACAAGACGATAGGAGCCCATGACGAGAAGCAGTGCGTGGCAGCACAGGCGTGACATCGAGGGCTACAAGTAACACGATTCGTGTCACTCGAAAGCCACTCGCGAGCCGTCTTGTCAAGCACATGGCTCAGCTGAACTGGTGTCAGCCATGTAGTGTGCGCATGCACTCCTCCTCCTGCTCGCGTACATCCACTTGAGACAGCCACAAACGTGCTACATCGTGATCGTCAGACGGCGCAGCTTTATCTTTGCTTGCTTTGCTCGCATAGCAATCGTGAGGATGCTACGTTCTGACTACCATATCTTTGAGAAAAAGATTAGTAGGACCATTTGCGCGCACGCGAGACTTTGTGGAAAGGCTAGCGACTGGTGATCTTGACCTCTGTAAGGATCTCGTAGACCGATACAGGACAATCTCTTCAGGCCATCGTAATTGTTGGCGCACCGTTGCTTTTGCAAAGAGCAAAAGGCCATCCGCGTATTGATTGTCTTTCTTACTGTGAGCATTGAATGCAATCTAGAGAAAGCGTCTACGTCTGCTCGTGTCAACGTAAGCGTAATCTCCTCTGGTCTGTCATCTTGACTTGCGTCCAAGGCGCACGCAGCTGTGAGTGACATGGTCAAGTCATGCAGACTTGTTGGACGAAGAAGCTACAAACACTCGGATGATCGCGCATCGGAAGTTTGGCTTATGAAGTACTGCGCTGTCTTAGACCAGCACACCTTCCTAGGTATGGAGTAAAAGGTGTCAAAGGCTGTGTTGACGTGCTTGATCTACGACTTTTGTTGCTCGGTCACTTGTTGCTCGGTCACTTGTTGCTTCGCTTCGTCATAGTCGATGACATCGAGAACGAAGCAGGACTACCACATGAACATGGCATGGTTGTTTCACTCAAATGGGAATGATCAATGACCAGACATTGTCTGGAAAGTGCCACACGCTATCACTACACAGACCCAAGCAGAGGAACGACAGCAAATTCCGCGTCGAGACCACGAACAGACGCAACGTTACAAGATGATGATCCAGGCCCACAATATGCAACCGTGTCAACTTCCGCGCGACGCATGGCTGACACTGAACAGTACCAGCATGGATCACGTCCTTCGTTTCGGAGGCGTTTCTCGTGGGAGTTGTCGCATCGATCAGTGTCGCATGGTACATACGACGAAGTGACATGCGACGAAGTGCTTATGTTCCCACACGTGTTCCCACACCAAGAAAGCAGCTTGACTTGCCACAACGGCGACAGGTATAGATTTTTACATGCACCAGCAATCGTCGATGTAAAATTGATTGCACGATCCGCATGTTGCCAGCTTTTTTGCGCCTCTACTGATGAGCGTCCACCTGAACAAGACACGGCCATCGATAGCACAATGTTGCAGCGCTACGACACACACACATCTGTGCGTCTCCGTCATAAACGTGTTGGTCGTCGGGAAGTCAGCAGCCGGTGAAAAAAACATGATCATTCTGGTCTGTGTGATGCGGCAACACCACCGAAGAAGCACCGCCAAAACGGCTACTTCATGCTTCGCTGCGATATCACTACATGAGGTAGCTGCTGCCACTGGCATTGCGCCAGTTGGGTTATATGTAGACAGAGCGAAGACCGCCGGCATAGCTAGCCATCTTTGTTCAATGTGAGAGTGCATCGACTCGCTTCACGAATGCATCCAGAGCATGCAAGAATGCAACAAAGGATCTCGAGAGCCTGTACGCGTGTTGCAAATGGCGTCACTTGACTCACACAAACGTGTTCCGGAGCTGCCGTGCCTTTTACCATTCGAGCTCTATGATCATACCACCGACTCGATTCCTCGAAACGTGTCGTAAGATAAGGCTGGGTTATTGCAACCTGTGACGACCATGTGTTCTGCACCACAAGTAATCTCGTCGTGACTGATTGGGCACACTCCAGAAACATGGGACAGCTATTGCTACCACCTTGTTACGAACTTTCATCGGCATGAACTGATCGTCTTGCGCCGTGTGATTGATCTAGATAGGACAACATCCAACACCGATGCAATTGTCCATCCACTAGTCCATTCGACTCATCGCGCGACACGATGTTAGCGAGTGCTCCATTCGACACGTCCATTAAATCGTTCATCGCAAGCAACTTCTTGGAGCTAAACAGCTTATTCGAGACTTCATGTCATCACATTCTACGTGTCGTGACGCAGATCAGGTTGCGGTCAGCTGTTTCGCTCGTTCAAGATGCCGATCGTTTGACAGTGCGTAACTAAATGATGTGCCAGCCTTGGGATCTTTCGTTCGTCTTCTTGTAGCGCTGTGAAGACGATGCATCGTCAACAGGAGCTATTTCTTGTTTGCCTTCAATCAGGATGGATCTCACGAGCTGACAAACATCGTCTTAGTGCCAAGAAGGCCAAGGTAGACGATACTAATCTGCTTAACTACACCGGTATCTCACTTGCAAACATTCGTGAGCATGATAGAATGTCATCACAAAGCGATCGTCTTCAACCTTAGGACACGTGCAATCGTCACGCCGTCCATACGTCTCACTCGAACTGTGTCCTTTGGCCCATCCAGATATGTAGTTGCTCCATAAACTTGGATATGGTGAAGATCTGGCCATTTTCTTGACACTCACTACCATGCTTTGCAGTTTGTGACCTTGTTGTAGGCGCGCAATTTCTTTCGTGTATTCCATTATCTATTGCATCGTTCCACTGAAGACCACGTCAGGTACTCAGCGCATCGTCTTCGATGTATCACCCACAAACTTTTGCTGTCCCCCAATTCATGTTCTATGAGAGATTCGCATTCCGATCTTGCCGTGCATCCTTTCAGGCATCCGTAACGCTGTTACCACATTCATCAGCTTTGGTTGTGGACGCATGTTCACATGCTAAACAAGCTGTTCTCTCCTGACTTCTTGGCAAAATTGAGCGGTCATCTCGACCTTGTATGGTCGGACTAGTGCATTAGGCTCTTCATTGCACAAGTCACCGATTCCGCGTCCGTTTTGGTGAGAAACTAGTCGGCCAAGTCTTGCGGCTGTCCGTCCACATGACAGGCATCCGTTAAAGCTCAGCGCCATGACATTTTCATGCGAAGATACGTGCCGTTGGTTTCGTTCCAATGGTAATGTGGTCCTTTGTATGTTCGTGTCGATTTTGCAATGTGCATCATCACATGTCGATGACTATCTTCTTGTCAGGAACTCAATCACGAACGTAGCCTTGAGCTGCCATCACATTGACGTGGGTTGCTCACAAATGTGCAGAAAACACTGACGACATTGTCCCATTGTTATCAGACGATCGGCTGCTGATAATTGATTTGCTTCCGCATGAGTCAACTCGCCTATCATGAAGGATTCGACCCCTTTCTACCGACCCTCCCGCGTTTCCCGTTCTTTTCGACTTCAACACTCGTGAATCCAGTAACATCGCCGGTTTCAGCATCCCAGATAATCATACAACTTCCCCACCCCCTTCACAAAGCCCTTCTCTGGCATCCAGCTGCTTGCGGTCATCAACAATGAATTGATACCTGAAGCAACCAGTCTGGTCCCCTGTGTGTCCAATTGTCTCGCCTAAAGAACGTGTCCTTCTTCCGCATTCGGAACATACGCCACGTCACACTCGGACAGATCGGTGCATCTTATTCACCATCGTACACATGGTGGTGGCTTCCATTCCAGTCACATGCGCACCAGGTACCGCAAAGTGTTGACGATTGGCTTGGAGGATAGGGTCGTGAGCAACACTGTGACCAGATTTCCTACGACGTGAGAGCTCGCGCCTGTATGAACAGCCACAAGCATCTGCGCATGTCGATCCCGGTCAGTTTACCTCGATACGGAGACTCGTGGCATTAGTTGCTGAGCCACGAGCTCTTCTTCACTTGTGTCGCTTGGCCGAACGTGGAAGCAAAGAGGACTTTGGAAGCAGAACGGACTTTGGAGACTTTTCTGTGTAAGGAACACGTCGTCACTGTCGTGATCACGCGAGCTTTCTTTTCCTTTCAAGACGGAACTGTCGGTTTCTCGATCACATGCTTAATTTCCACGACGTCGATCAAAGGTCTCTCCTTTCATTCAACTGTACAGCACGCGCACGGCATCGACGGCTCGCAAAATCTTCGCTCGATGCATTGGAAATGGCCCTACTTGCCGTCAATGCATCACGTCTTCGAGTCTTCATCCCCTCCTCCAAATTCTTGTTCTTTGTCGCTTTCCCACCTTTCTACATCACTGCGATTCCACTTTGCAAATGTCCCTGCATAGATTCCGCTTCGTCGTTGCTTCTGGACACGTCAGCGCGACTCAAGTGGCGTGTATACGAGTCAACGTCAACAGCATCGAAAGTTTGTGGCTCAACGCCACCCCCCCCCACACACACAAGAGTGCTAAATAAGTTTGAAGAGCCGATACATGCAAGTAACGTTAACACGTTATGGAACAGCAGAAAGCCTGACGATCAACAAAGGCGAATCTCCGAAACGAAGATTGGTGCGAAGACATGGATGGACGCGTCGAAGCTTATAAAATACTAGAATAAGTTCCCGACACTGGTAATGCGCCTAGTCGCGAAGCAATCATACTGCCGTGGGCCTCGCAAACGAACGGACTCGAATATGTGGCATGGACGGCAGGTAGCTCGACGGAATCGGAGAGACCCGACATTGGCGTGAGTGAGACTTGACCGTCCATGACGCGCATATCAATTATCTGAAGACACATGAATGGCTGCGGAGCTTGGTCTCAAAAATGGGCGGTAAAAACAGTTGCGCGTCAGTTGGACGATACCACACTGCAAGCAAGGGGCTTGCGTATGTGCGCACGATGTCGTCTGGACAACTGAAAGGTCAATGGGAGTTTACGATAACGAGCTCGGCGAGCGGTGGACAAAATAAAGCATTATTTGATTGTCATTTTACCGTTACGCCCACAGTCCCGATCGAGCACCCCGTGTTTGCGTAAGGCAGACGTCGCTGACATTGTGCTTTTATGCAGGGAACAGCAAGACGATGAAGTGTGAAGTTCAAAATGCTTGGTAGATCATGCCATCGCGCAACAGGCGAGCGCACGGAGTTGCCGTGTGTGGCGTAAGCGAAAAAATGTCGAGACACCTTTGGAATAAGTCTGAAAACACGCTTTATGTGCACTACAGAATTTTTTCACTTCGAAGAAGTGCTGGAACGAATGCTGGTGGTGCTGACAGCAAGAGAGAGAGATCACGACCATTCTGGTCATCGTGTTGCGACGAGTGTGGGAGTGGACCCTGGCGGAACGTAAGTGGCTCTCTTGGCATCGACAGCCGGTCAACTCAGTCAACTGTGGCCGGCAAACGAGACGTTGTGGAAGATGCGTGGAGCATAGTGTACGGATCTTGCTGGGATGCTGGAGCATGGTATCTCGTACACACGCGTACGAGTATCAAGCAATCCCTGCGAGTACTTGTGCGTCTTTGATGACGAGAGGGTGGCAGATGTCGTGAACTGCGAGAGCCTTAGTGAGCATAGATGTATTCGTGCTTGCGCGAGGTGCGGTCTTGTGTTGGTAAGACTACGATTTAAGGCATTCAGTTCAAGAGCATCGTAAATGCAGCAATGCCGATCATGTCGGCTGGACATGTGTACATATACGATCGGTGTCGACAGTCAGAGCGCACACATGTCCAACAAACTTGTGTCGAAAGAGGCATGTGAGCTTCACTCGAAGTTGGCTGTAACGAGGTGATACTCACACGAAGTTTGATGCGAGATGGGGCGCTGTTGTCGACGATCTTGCACGTGTGCGTACGAAGGAAGTCAACAGGTGCTTATTTCTCAATTGTCCAACCCAATGTGTGTCTAGACGCGAGATGAAGAACTCGAGAGAGGCAGGGGGAAGCAAGTGCTGGAACTGGTCGGTCGTGGTGAAATTGAGTCACGGTTGTTCTTCGTCTGCCTTGCAGGTCAGTGGGCAATGTCGTTTAGCAAGCACGGCGGCATGAAGTGTTGAGTAGTGCTGCAGCAAAATCGCGATGTTCCATCTCCATACGAGATCTACGGGACCGTCGAGTGCGATGGCAAGCTCGTGGAACGGTTGTCGTTGTCAAGAGCAGCTAACTGTGACACACGGGAAGCCAACGATCATCCATTTGCAGCATTGCTACCGTTCTGCATATGCTTATCACTACCATCGTTTCCGCTGTCGCTTTACCGCATACTCGTCTTCTTTCCGAAGTCGCCGCTCGACGTGGGGCCCAGGAACTGTGTCGTTTCCAACGAGTTTCCCACGCACCCGACCTTCAGCTCGTACCAAACGCATTTTTCCGACGCCGATTTATGCCAGATGTACTTGAACGTGTGTCATTCTGACGAGCTACCAGCCTCAAGGGAAGCTATTCCCGCACTGAGTCGCATCCAGACCACTGCCTGCGACCGCCTATCGCCGTCGTAGAGACTATTGCTGGGTCCACACTTGCTGTCCTTCATGTTTGTGTTCGTGGACGTTGGACAGAACGAAAGCGCTTGCAAATGAGCTGAGATGAACTCTGTTTGGCCGTTGAATAACCCGCAGAAGAAGGCAACTGACTGCCTGCGTAGTTCGCCGCTAGAAAGCCAAGCCTTGCTTGGTCTCGCGCTACATGGGACGAGCACTGACGGCAACAGAGACGCAGTCTGCATCCTTGTCGACTGACCAAGGCACGGATGTCGTCATGAGTGTGCAAAGTGCCGCAGCGCGGGGTCACGACACGTATTGGAGGAGAACCTTTTTCTGCATTCTTGGAGCCGGGAAGCCGACCGTTTTCTGGTTGCGCGCCAACAAGTCCGATGTTCAAAGACGCCAGGGATAGTACGGCCTGGCGCAGAACTGGCACCGCATTGCTGAGCGACAGCCGACATTCCACGGACATTGTTCACGGCTGTGTATCTCCTGCGGCGAGAAAAAGGCTTTGCCCGGGCGGACATCCGGTTGCGATCAGCCAGACGGTCGATGGTAACGCGTGCTTCGTCGACTTTCGGCGGCCATCCATGTTGGATTCCCCTGTGGATGGTCTCACCCAGAACGACACTGCGGGGGGCTGTTTGAACAAATCAGAGCACGGGGCACACGAAAACGCACATACCGCTCCTGCGATATTCGCGCTGGATCGGGGATGCGATGTTTACTGGCAGACAGTCAGTCGGTCAATCAACAGGGAAGCGCACTACCGTTGTAACGCCCGCCGGCTCATACCACTGCGCATACCACTGCGCACCGTATCGTTATCATTTACAATGTGCTGTCTCGTCATCAAGGAGGCGCCACCTCAGCGACGGCGACGTCAAATGATAGTGCGCTTTTCTCCTTGTGTTTTCGTACGTGCCTCGCATGTGTCATGACTCGTTGGCGCCGATGGCAGGCGGTTACCAAATCGAAAAGGAGGCAATACGACTAGAGACGCCACGACGCGGTCATCATTTCGTCGTCAGCGGACTTGAGCTGCGCGCCGATCAGCGCTCGTCTCTTGCTAACGAGCGGGTTCTCGCGGCATCGAACTCGAACGAGAAGAACAATTCGGGATCGTGTCTGCACATCGCTTTGCATCAAACCGGATGGTGTCGTTCCATATACGACAGTCCGATTGCTGCCTGGTGCCCCGGTCTCTGATTGCACATGGAGTCGTCGAGACGACGCGAGCTGCAACGCCTGCAGTCCGCCTAGCTGACAGTCAGATGCGGCCAGCGCGATGAGATCGCCGGCATCCCCGGCAATGGCAGCCCGCGATCGGTCTGGGCGTCGACCAGAGGATACCAAAGAACGGGCGAGCATCGTTCCTGAAATCCTGCTGCGCGATTCTTGTCGGCTCGAGTCGCAGAGTTGCTGCATTGCGACAAGAGCCGCCGAGAGAACAAAGGCCATGCGCTGCTAGCTCGTGTCGCTGCTCGCCCCCCGCCTCGATCGGCCAGCGGTCGTTGTTTCGGTCAATCTGTCGATTCAATACGGTTTCGATGACGCAAAGTCGTCTAGAAGACGCCGGCTCGTCGGAACGACGGACAGCACATAGCCGCTTCGGTGCTGCTTGCTCGCTGATGCATTTGCCACTACGTCTATCGGTCTATCGGTCAGGCGATCGTGCCGTTCCCTCACGGTGCTGTAGCTGGTCAGCCAGGGCAGACAAGGGAAGCTGCGTGGCTCTGACACATGAACCGTAGCTTAGGTGCACGAAGACAGGGTCGCAAACGACACAGGTATCAGATATTCAAGTCGTTACGCCGTTGACACGGCAAGCGCGACACACGCATGCCTTTTCTCTTGCGCTGCCTCACTACTGTCAGCGCCTCCCCTCTCTTCCTCACTACGGCATTGCCAGCAGGGCGTGAGCAGCAGAATCAGTCGACCACCAAAGCTGAGTCCCGCGGTTCTTTGCACAAGTGGTCGCTGACATAGCCCTCGGCTCAGTCTCCAATATCTCCTCGGCCGAGAACTATCTTCAGTTTGAGGTTTCGGCCGCCACAGTCACGTGCACCTCATCCCTACCGCGCAGCACGAACGACGCAAGCCGTGTACCTCGAACAGGACCCTGTGAACGTCCCGTTATTCCTCCTACCGACCGCGACCAAGAGACGCCAGCGCGTTTGACAAGACGCACGTCGAGCATCCATCAGCTCGCGAGCCTGATACATTGGTACCGGACACCCAAAGGTGAGGCGTTCGCAACTAACCTCGACATGGACATCCGACGTCTGCTGCACAACCCGGAGGACGGCGGCTGGTACATCATCGGCGTGACCAAGAGCGAGGCCGAGATGAACGACTTTCGCCGCTCGCTCCGGCGCAACGCCATCATCAACACGCACCTCGTGAACTGCACCATGAACCACGACGATCTCGGCGTAGACGCTGCGAGCACCGAGCACAAGATGAAGGTCCAGTGGACGAAATGCACCTCGGCCTTGTGTCATCCCAAGGGCAATGGCAATCCAAGCGAGAGCTCGCTGGATGAGCAGGGCAAGCCCCGCGCGTGCCCCGTGCAAGTGCGCATGTCGACATGCCAGCTTACATTCTCAGGTATTGTCTGTCAGGCGTACCAGCACTTGAGTGAAGAACACGACTCCGCGGAGCCTCTGCAGACGTCAGTGACCGAGGAGATGAAGAGGCACATTGTGCGCATGTTGCGAGAGAACCCTGAGGTGAAGCCCATGGTAATCTATCGCGACCTCTCAGCACTGCACGAGCAGGGCGTGTTCGGCGAGGACCTCATGCCCACCAAGATCCAGCTGCGCAATGCACTGACGTATTTAAGAAGCCGCAAGCTCAAGCTGTCCAGCGGCAGCGGCAGTGGGTGTTCAGCCGATGGCACGCCGCGAACGCGAAGAAGCGGCTCTTTCTCCGATGGAGGCGAGTCGCCTCCATTTGAGGAACACCGTCTTCCAGAGCTCTAGCGCCGCGGCGTTCTGTTGACGCGAGAGCTTTCGACGACTCTACAGACGTTGGTCCGTGGAGGGCTCCTGTACACAAAGACTCGCCTTTGATCAGCGTGGGGCGAGCGCTCGCTGCACTCTTGCAATGTCAAGCATAGCGATGATCCCAGAGCAGAGGGTCTGGGCAAGACATCGACCATCGACCACGTCTGCCAGTCTAGACATCGACCCACGCTATCACGTCTGCTAGTCGAAGCGTAGTCGGTCGGCGTAGCGAGGCTTCAGGTTGAGAAGACGGGTCAGACGTAAGCGTAGCGCAGGTACCATATACACACTAGAAACGATTTCTAACGCCTCAAGGTGTTGACGAAGACTTCGGTGATCGAAGCGCCTGTAATGGAATACGACAGTGGGGCCTCGAGTCCAGTCATCCCCCCGAAATCCTCTGGAAACTAATACTACAAACTGGCAGATTCATGGACAGTGCTCATCGCCAAGGAAGGTGCGATGTCTTACGCCAATCGATCCTGCTTCTCGGCCAGTGTGACGGATTATGCGGCAGTGTACGATTCCCCGGTGGTGCACACAGGCTGCATAGAAAGCATCCTCGTCGATGCGCGAGTGCTCAGAATCGGTCATTTGCCATAGTGGAATCCCTGTCATGCAGTTGTCAAAGCGTACACAGCCGGGCATGGAAATGTGACAGAACCAGAAGAGAATCAAGAGCAGATGGCTCAAGACATGATCCAAATCATGGACCAGAAAACATCCAGGTGCAAGCATATGGTGGTGCTGCGACCGTACAAACCATTCGCGTTCGCGGACACTCGAAGCGCATTTTTACACCGCGTGTGTTCCCGACAACTTGTAATGAGGAGCAGAGCATTGTTCCTGCTCGAGACAATCGATGCTGGTTCGAGGTGATCCGTGAGCCGAAGGATTGCTTGCACCAGTTGGGGTAGACGATCGAGACCCGGTTCCTCTTCAACTGCTAATCCGGCGGGACACATACAGGGGCCAAAAGGACCGGTTTGTGCGTGTCGTGCCACTCACAGGCGATCTGATGGTCCTGCGAGCAAGCGTGACGGACACCCCGTATGAGGCGCGTTTACTAACGTCTAGATCTATCCTGCTAGAGCTCTTTCAGCTGACGATCAGAACAAGATCGGTGTCTGCGATGTCTTCATTCGCTCTTTTGAGAGGAAAAAGCTGCAGACCACATCCGCACGGCCTGCCTGGTGACGCTAAAGCACGCTTGTCGCTTTGGTAGTAGATGCAAAGCCTGCGCTGCGTGCATCAGTCAGCGGTCGCGTTACAAATTGGAGCTGTACGTACGTAACGCGCGAGCCATACCGGGTCGTGTAGCTGATGTACGCTTACTGGAGAAACAACGACGGCCCTATTGCAGCGTGTAGAACCGGATGTCAGCATTGTTCCTCATGCAAGGCGTGACACGGTGCAGTACGTTTTACGGAAGATTCTATGGCGTATCGTGATGCATCACATGCAACGCACATCAGATGCATTACCCATCAACGCGATGAGGAGTGCCGAGTCCAGATCAAATGGCCATACTTCGACCAGATCGTGTGGACTATAAGCTCCACATCACGTGTGTTCTCGTAGGAACTGCCACCTGTGTAGCAAACTCGGAGCTTGCCGTATTTTACTCGTGCCCTGCGCCTCAGAACGGTGCGCTCTCGTCCGTTTCTGGTGCAAGCTGATCCGTGTCGCAGCTTCTGACTCAATGGCGACCAGATTGATCCAGCGTCCGATGTGGTAAGAGCGCTGGTGACATGACGAAATTCTTGCGTTCTGTACGAGAAGAGTTGAGGCTAGCAGCATGTGCACAGTGCCGCAGTCACCAAAAACTGGAGGAATCGATATGATCAGATCTTTCATACTTGTTGTGGGTATTGTGATTTGTTCACAATATTTGTTGCAGGCAGCTCACATTTGCATTCAGCAGCTACTGTCTCGGTGCGTGTCGTCACCAAACCTCATCATACGCAGGTGTGGTAAGAAAGACGCCTGCATTGGCTTTTGAGCAGGCGTGATGGTGGGTTGGAGGTGTGTCATTCTTGTGTTAGTTCGGCAGAAATTTGACTTTCTGTGGAAGCGTTGCTTATCATTTCGGTCTTGTTGCGTCAAATATGTAAGGCAACAAGCGAACCGGTCAAGAGATCGTTGTATAAGTTTCGACACGTCTATATGCATTTCCAGCATTGATCAGGTTGCGAGAGCGCACGCTTCATGGACGTGTCAATCCGGACAGTAAGGTCACTATACGTCTTGAACCGAAAGGCAATCAGTGTAGCGCGACAAGTTCGAAGCGCCAAGTGGGACATGGGCGATATTGAGTGCGCAGTGTAGCTCGATAGACCGGAGAGAAAAGATGGTTCGTGTAAGTATGTTGACCTTTTATCGCTCACGGTCGATGGGTCCACCCACTCTTCTTCGGTGTCGCTTCTTCTTTCTTCTTCAGCTCAACTCGTCGCAATAGGACATGTCATGTGCTGCGATGCACCGAACGACCTTCATTATGCAGCACACACAAGATGTAGCCGGCATGACATTCTCGTGTGTGGCAGATAGTTTCTAAGATAAGTTGACGCCCAACGTGTCTTGTCACCAGTCGTTTCCGACCGACGTCCATCGTAAACGACGTGGTATTCTTGTAAACTCACATCGCCGATTTTCGAAGAGCCCCGCGCTTGCTTTTCTGACGCCAAACGCATAAGTGGATCCTGCTCTTAGGGCAGATTCTGGGATAGTTGAGAAAATGCAGTGCGTTATTGTTCAATATTGTCGATGTACCAGCGATATCTCGCTCGTCTTCTAACAAACGCTGTTTCGTCGCACAGGCACGTCTTATAACACGCCGCATGTGACATGCACAAACTAGGTGTTCGACACTCTAGAATCGGCAAGTCTATGCGGTGCTATTCGCTCATCTTTACAATGTGCGTAGCTCGAACGAGGTGGCGTAAAGGAATGAACGATGTCGAGATTTGCATCAGCAAGAACGCGGTCTGCTGCAATTGGGATGTCAGCATGTGTGTGCTCGCTTGACGACGTAGAAGAACATCACACCATTCATGCGATGACTCAATCAATCCTTTGCCGCACGTGTGATCGAGACAAAGGTGTCGATCACTCTCGACTTAGACATACATGCTAGAAAATTGATGCAACATTGCTCGACACGTGGTGACAACTACAACGTTCCACTAGAAGCACGTACTGGAGTAAGGTGCAATGCTATCATGTAGTTGGTCCGACGACTCGCAAGTGTCGTGCAGTAAGGAGCCTGCGCATCTCCTGGCAATTTCCTGACGTCCAAGGCGTCACGCATGCACTCTACTAGCTCCTGCCTAGTTTGAGCCCAATTCTCAGCTCTGTTCGGACAAGCCGAAAGCGAATACATGGTTCCCTAGTTGCTGGCATTCCATTGCAGGTTCCCAAGCCAATCTCCATGTCGAGGTCAGAAGTGCAAGATACGTCAGTAGTGCCTGAATGCTGTTCTTGGCACCCGTGGCGTATGAAAGGCATCTGAGCTGTTATTTGATTGCGATGGCGCAAGGTTGCATCTAGTGTACAATCTGTAGTTTTCGAGCGATACCGCGACATCGTTCACAAACATCACACAAGTGCGATGATGTCGATTATTTTTTTCATTTGGTACAAGTTGAATGATGTGTCTGCAATGGCGTTGTAGCACACATGCAGCCCACGTGAAATGTAATCAGCGTCTTGCTCGGCTCAGTGAACAGATCCTCTGTATACCAAGTATATACTCGCGGTAGTCTTGGCCGCATACTAAAGACCAGCGCACCTGCAGCTTGCAGGTGTATGTCATCTGCACCCACATTTATAAACGACGAGCCTTACCTGTAACGGGGCACACCCTTGCGTGAACTTAACGCAAGGGTTTGGGTGCCCCGACAGACGTACACGAGGCAAACGAGGAAGCGTAGATAAGGGAAAAGTAAAACTGTTGTATTAATATAATTAAGTCTTTTTGTTACTGTCTATCTGTTTAACCTGACTTAATTTTGTTAATATAACTGAGTGTATGGTGACGTCTCGTCACCACTCATTGCGCGCGTCCTGCGGCGATTGGTGGGTTGATATCATCACGATATCAACCAATGAGCAGACACTTTGGTCGCCTCACCAATATCACCACTATCGGTGATATTGTTCAAAGAATATTCAACTTAATATTCTTTATTGTCACTTTCTTAAAAGTGACACTTCCATGTAACGGGCTGCCCCGTTACATCACCCCCTTAACTGATAGTCACTGTGTGACTATCGAAAATATGGTGGCCACCCGTTGGGCACCATTGGGACAGGGAGCACGTGTTGGGTCAGTTCCGTTCATAACTCAACCTGACCTCGCATAGTTAACATGTCTATGCGGGGTGACTCAAGGCACACAGAGTCTGTGCCTGTGCCAGCTTCTGCGGCAGAAGATTCGTCGTCTGATGCTCGTTCTTCGCCTGCAGCAAGAGGTGCTGCAGGTGCACGCGGTAGAGCACCGCGTGCGCATGATGACCCCGACATTGAGGTCATCTACTCTGGCGAGTCAGACGTGTCTGACTCGGGCAATGCTGCAGAGGCGTCTCGCTCACCAGCGACGCCTCAGCGTTCGCCAAGGCCACTACCGAACGAACGGACTCGTGAGTTGCAACACAGTCTGTTCGGCAGTGATGACGAATCTGATGATGAGTATGTTTGCTCATCACCGCGATCAGCTCGTGCTCCTTCGCACGAGCGACTTGACGATGGTGCAAGCCATCGTCATGCTGACAACCGTGGTACCGACAAGGGTACCACTGTGAAGCGTGATGAGCTGAAGCCGTGGCGTTTGCCTGAACGGCTCATCAATGGCTTGTCTCACGAGACAAGCCAACACCATCGAATACCCTTATTTGATGCGACTGAGCTTCACGGCTTGGATCCCAGCGCGAGCAACTTTCGCGCTGAGGAAGACTTTTATCTCGATGTCTTCTTAG